ATGTCATGGTCATACCATGATATTTTATTGTTATGTACCTGACCATCATTTACCATGGTACTACTATTGTATATCATGGTTGATGACATTTCATGGCATTTCATTGTACCGTGTGACAATCAATTACCATGGTCATACCATGTCATTTCATTGCCAAAATCATAACTCTCATTTATCATGGTTTTATCATTGCATTTCATGGTTGGTGGTATTTCATGGCATTTTATTGTCAAACCTGACCATCAAATACTATGGTCACACCATGGTATTTCATTGCCATAATCATAACTATCATTTATCATGGCATTTCATTGCATTTGGTGGTTAATTGTATTTCATAGCATTTCATTGTCAAACCTGACCATCAAATACCATGGTTATACCATGGTATTTCATTGCTAAAAAGAACTCTACAAGAGTCTCAAGTCTAAAATTGGTCAGATTGAAATGGATCATGAAATGCAATGAAATACCACGTTTAACCATGAAATGCAATGAAATACAATGATTGATCATGATATGCAATGAAATGCAATGATCTTTCTTGCAATGCAGTGAAATACAATGAAAGGCCATGTTCAAAAAGTATTTTTTACATGAAATATCTTTATTAATAAATGTTGATTAGATAACCAAATTATTATAATTAGTGATTCTGATATTCATCAAAATCACAACTTTATATACTTTTGTTCCTTTATTTAACAAATTAATTTCTATTATGAATAATTAAGTTAATAACCCTAGAAACTTTTTTTTTGTTAAACAAATATGCTTTACTTTTATTTCACTGTTGTTGGTTAAATAGGAGATCAACTTAATATTTTGTAAGTCAAACCTCCAGTCTTCGATTAAACATCTTGACTGTACTTCATTGCATTTGATGGTTTGCAACCATGAAATACTGCAAAATAGCAGTATTTTTAAATGCAAAATTTTAAGTATAGTTTCCACAGTATACCATAGTAAATCGTGATAATTAAATGGCTCCATTGCATATCATGGTTAAATGTCTAGACCATGATATCACTGCATTTGATGGTATTTGACCATGAAATACTGTGAAACGGTGGTATTTTTTAGATACAAAATTACATGTTAATTGACCATGGTAAACCATGGTATATCATGATCGTTAATTGCATTGCATTTCATGGTCAGGAGCGTTTTTTAACATGGAGTTTCCCATTGAAAAAATACTGCTGTTTCACAGTATTTCATGGTCAGAAACCATCAAATACAATGATATCATGGTCAAGAAACCATCAAATGCAATGATATCATGGCCGAGAACTTGACCATGATATCATTGCATTTGATGGTTTCTGACCATGAAATACTGCGAAACGGCAGTATTTTTTCAATGGAAAACTCCATGTTAAAAACGCACTGTTAACAATGAAATGCAATGGTGCCATTTAACGTTCATGATCGGCCATGGTATTACCATGGTATTTCATTGCATTTCATGGCCATATACCATGGTATACCATGGTCATACCATGGTATACCATGGTATGGCCATGGTCCATTTCAACATGGTATGAAACAACTTTAGTAACTGCTTACTCGAAATCTTGCATGTCCAAATAGAAATATGATGCGATGTCTACATTTTTATGATAAGTCTTCAAAAAATAAAAAACTATTATACACATAAAAAGATAAACGCTCTCCTCCAAGATTTTGATAATCCTAAATAAATCTAACTACGAATACAACTTGTTATCAATTCCTAACCCATTGTAATTGAGGAGAAAATGGGAAAATTTGGATATAAAGTGAAGTAACATCTCTCATCATGTCGTGTAGACATTTTGCTCCCCCACTCCGTCCCCTCTCCCCTCCGTCCCATTTTAATTATTTTCGATTATTTTTTATACAACGTATGGAAACGTATTTTGTAAAGTCATTAAGGTCATTAATTTTATGATGATAATGTCACTTACAAATATTTATTGCAGGTTGTGTAGACCGTTGATGCTTGATTTAAAGCAAAAACATTGACTTTTGCACGTTGGTGGCGTTGCGCCTTTTTTAATAGATCTTAAAACCTAAGAAGAGAATCGGCTAAAAAAAATCGTAGAATACGCGACATATTTTACCATACCATGCGCCTATTCGTTTAGCAATTAAATCATAAACATTTTCTTGAAAAAATAATTTTTGCTGATTTGTTCATTTTTCTACCAGAAATTGCTTGCTCCCCCTCCGTCCCATTTTCACGATCACCGGGTGTGAACTTGTATCTATTGTAAACATGATTACTCCTAATTTTGATCGTAACATTTCTATCAGAGGTATCTTTTGAGGGTGCTTTTGACGGGGTCCCTCATTATCTGCTTCTTCACAAGCTTAAATTTTTTTTTTATTTTTATTATTTTTATTATTATTTTCAAAATCAAAACATATTTACATATACATTTAATCAAGAATACAAAAGTTAAGTAAGGTGTGATAATATAAAAAGTATAAGGCTACAGTAAGTACATAAACCTGCAGTAATCTCACATCTAATCTATAAGATGTAAAAAAGAATAAAATAAACCTATAAAGACATGAAAAAGAAACACAGCAAGTACATGTCTATAAAGATGTGAAAAAGTATATCTACATATACTATGATCTACATCTACTCTGTAAATATAACAAGTCAAAATTATTAATGTAGTCCTCTAAAAGGTGCAGCACTTCATTATTTTTCTTCTTCATATGTCTCATATTTTCAACATACTTGGATAAATATAGAAAGGCTTGATTGTTAAAATTTACATCCTTAAGTCCTTCATAATCCTCTGAGTGTTTACTCCAATTTACATAAATGCTATAGCTGACCACTGTTGTGACAATATTTCTAAATTCTTGAATATTTCCTTCATTCATATAAAACCCTAATATTATATTTTTCCATTGAATATTACATTTTAGAATCTTCCCAACATTGACCCAAAGATTTCCTAGTAATCGACACTCAAATATCATATGCTTGATGTCATGAGTTTCATTGCAATACAAACACAGTTTCGAAATGTTATTATTCCACTTACTCACAAGTTTACCATATGCCAATATGTTATGAATCAATTTATAGTTAAATTCAGAATATTTTTTGTCAACAATGTTTATAAATTTTGACATATAAATAGATCTATAAAACTGTGTTGTATTTGGTGTCTTAAACAATGAACTCCAATAAATTTCCATTACTGTGCTTTTTCTTTTAAAAGTATATTATACAATGACTTTGTGCTGATATCATTTATTTTTGTCCATGAGCCATTTTTTAGAAGAATTTGGTTATGGTATCTAATTTTTGTGTACTTTGCTAACTCCCCATCATGTTCTTTTAATAATTTTACAATTAAACATTTTATTCGGATATATTCAGTCATCCAATTCCTTTTATCAATTAATTTATTTAAAACTGTTTTTTCATCTATAACGTTACCATTGATATCAATAAAATCTTTTAAATAAACAAAACCGCTTTTGATCCAGTGTTTGCAATAAAGGACACTTTTTTGTTCTGAAACCTTTCATTTAACCATAATAATTCAGAAAATATCCTATTTTTTGTCTCTGTCTATCAATTTACATCTCTTGAATGAAATAAAGATATTTTGGTAAAAAGTTGGCATTTGTATTTTAACAATATTTAGAAATCTTGTTTTCAGGAAAGTGCTAAGGCTAAAACCACATTTTTTAATGTAAAATATTGGGATAAGTCGCCAAGCACTATTTTCTCCAATAAAACGCTTTACCCACATACCTTTAATTGCTGAAATTTTGGTTTGCAGATCAGTTAAGCCTAACCCTCCATTTTCAAGCTTTTCAATTTTAACATTTCTCTTTATCATATCTTTTTTCCATATGAATTTATATATCATACTGTTTAGTTGATTTATAATAGTTTCAGGTACATCTAGGATAGAGATCAAAAACATCAGTTTTGAGATAGCTAATGAATTTATAATCTGTACTTTTCCAAAGAGTGATAGTTTTCTAGATTTCCACGATTTAAATAGTTTTTCAAATTCTAGAATTTTAGGATTCCAGCTATATTTCTGACACTTTTCATAATCATTTCCCACATATATACCTAGTATTTTTATTGGTTCATCTGGAAACTCTATGTTTTTATATATTTTTTCACGATTCTGATATGTTCCGAGCCAAATTCCCTTTGTTTTTTCTAAATTAAGTTCTAAACCACTCAGTTTGGAAAATTTCTGTATTTCTGCAAGCATACTTTTTACTGATTCCCTATTTTTTAGAATTATAGAAGTGTCGTCTGCATGCTGAACTATTTTTATTTCATTATCATTGATACTTATTCCATTTATGTCATCATTATATTTTATATTTTTGGCCATTATCTCTGTACAAAGTATAAAAAGTAGCGCTGATAGGGGGCAGCCCTGTCTAATACCTCTGCCAATTTTAACTTCTCTCGAAAAGAAACCATAAATCTTATGGTATTTGTGAAAACATTATTGAGTTGTTAGGGTCTTACCTTCATAACAGAAAATTAAATGGCCGAGGGGCGAAGCCAGACAGGTGGACAGTGGAGTCTTCCCGCCAAAAACAATAGCAACGACTTAGCATTGTGGCCATGCATCTAGGTGTGACGCAATTTAACACTTGACCATTTATTAGTCTTGTTGTTGTTTCCTTGAACAACTATACGTTGACGTCACAAGGAGGATTGGCTCCCAGAATGCAACACCGATATTCTGCAAAACAATCACCTAGCGATAGCTTTGTTGGAGAGTATCGGGTCATTCTCCATGCAGTCGTACAAATTATACAGACACGAATAGCAAATGACGCATGCGTGGAGATTGAAGAATATCGAGTTGGAACCCTGGCTTCCAATCCTCCTTGTTGACGTCATGATACAACATTCTAAGTACGTGACGTCACTGATATATCCATAGCAACATTTCTATGTTTTCGTAATGGCTACAACAAGATCTCTAAATTCTTGAAGTAATCACACGATGGATAGACAAGGTAACAAACTTCTTGAAGATAATATTTTTATTATATTTAAATAAAATTCTTGTATTATATAAGTAAAAATCAACTAATATTTATTTCCACTGGGGTAAATGTAGTAGATCTCTAGTATAATTTCAGTTAGGCCTAATTTGCAAAATTTTACAAAACCATTTATGGCGCAGAATCTGCATGTGGAAAGATTAAATTTTTATGATTTGTAAATGCAAAATAATTGGTATCAGGAAAATGTAACGTAGGATTACTTCTCTAATGAAAACATTGAATTTCAATTGCTGGTTTCAGGCGGATTCTTGCGAATTCTATTTGCGATATGTATCGCTGCGTGCATCGAGAGCACGTTTGGTGTTAAATGTACCGAACCACCCGATGCATTTGTGGGGAGATTCAAAATCTCACTAGTTTACGGACGAGAGGTGGACATCAGTAAAGACGGACTGACTGCAACGGGACCTGCAATCCCACCTGGACCAACTTATGGTGGTGGACGAGCATTCTGTAAGTACATAATTATGTTTATTGTTATATTCTAATGCCACTCTGTCACAGTTGACATTTGATTTGATCTATGGCAACCGTAAAGCGGCCAAAACTTCCCAAAATCGAGATATACGCAGCATAAAATATAGGAAAAGCAATACGATGTGGATCTCGAAGCTACTGAACCAGTTATGGTCAAACCGAGACCAAGGTCAAAATAAATTGCCATCAATTAAATAAAGAGGCACAGACTGCAGCATCGACATTTCTTAACATGTGGCATCTCTGATATATTTATTACAGGGGAACTAGAGAAAAGGTTGCCGTTTGAACAGATTCATTGCACAAAACATTCGCTGACGATTGTGTTCGGGCAGCAGTTGATTGGGTAAGAAATATGGTTCATATTCCATCTCATGAATGCCTACACTCCCCTCTATACGTTTGGCAACCGGAAGTTGTTGTTTTTGGCTGTATAATTGTACTTAGATCTAGATTTTTACTGAATTTGAAGTTGAATTTAAAGGAGCATAAGAAATTCCAACTATCATGTTTATAGATCTCAACAAGATAAGCTTCCCTTTTTGTGAATGGTGATTAAAGCCTACCAGACAGAGTCAATTCATGTATTTTAAAGCTAAGCGCACAATTTTTTGAAAGATGTGTGAATGTCTAGTCACCCTTTCCACCACCTGTATATTATCTTAAAATCTGTGACCAATTCATATGTATCTTAAATTTGTACTAAACGTGGCTATTAATACTGTTAAGTACATGTACAGCCGCTATTTGTATTTTGATATGATAATTTATAATAAAATAAACTGAATAAAAAAGTTTTGATTGGACAGTATACAATATCAAAGCCTGTCAATATTTTGATCATAATTTTGTTAAAATTAGATATTAAAAAGGATTAAGTGTAATTATATAATGATGGCTGTTTGTAAGGGTTGGAAGGGGACTTGAGAGACTTTATGGACACTCTGTACATTGCTTAAAGAGTTTTTACTATTTCTACAGACCACATGATGAAACAGAAAAAGGATACCAGTGTTTGACTCTACGGCACGATGGAACCGGTGGTGATCTGATTGGTCAATTCGTGTATGACCCGCGTAAGTTTTAAACACAATTCTCAATCCATTGTTTTCAGATAGTAAAAGTAAGAAAGAATGTGGGACATACAATATTGGAATCAATCTTGCAAATGTTTTCCTTACAATCCTGATGCTCAAATAGAGAAGTTATTGTAATTTTATTGACGAAATTCTAAATAACTAGTCAGAACTGAAAAGAAGACATAAAGCGGCAATTATTTCGAAACTTCAAATCAATTCGTCTCCCTTCTTTCTCTTACCTTACTTAAATGAAAGAAAATGTAACTTCCATTACAATAATCACAGAAAATTACAATAAGAAAAATACACATATGGAAGTTGTATAAACCTAAAAATGTGAAATAAAGATCAACCTCAGAAGGCTACGAATAACACAGAATTGCTTTGAATATTTTTTATAACGATCTTGATTCTTTGACATGTTCAACGTTTTGAATAATCCATTGTGAGAGATTGCAGTGTGTGATCTAGTTGGCAGTATAATCTTTGCATCAGACTATGTTTAATCTTTGCATCAGACTATGTTTAATCTTTGCATCAGACTATGTTTAATCTTTGCATCAGACTATGTTTAATCTTTGCATCTGACTATGTTTAATCTTTGCACCAGACTATGTTAATCTTTGCATCTGACTATGTTAAATCTTTGCATCTGACTATGTTTAATCTTTGCATCTGACTATGTTTAATCTTTGCATCAGACTATGTTTAATCTTTGCATCAGACTATGTTTAATCTTTGCACCAGACTATGTTAATCTTTGCATCTGACTATGTTAAATCTTTGCATCTGACTATGTTTAATCTTTGCATCAGACTATGTTTAATCTTTGCATCAGACTATGTTTAATCTTTGCATCAGACTATGTTTAATCTTTGCATCAGACTATGTTTAATCTTTGCATCTGACTATGTTTAATCTTTGCACCAGACTATGTTAATCTTTGCATCTGACTATGTTAAATCTTTGCATCTGACTATGTTTAATCTTTGCATCTGACTATGTTTAATCTTTGCATCAGACTATGTTTAATCTTTGCATCAGACTATGTTTAATCTTTGCACCAGACTATGTTAATCTTTGCATCTGACTATGTTAAATCTTTGCATCTGACTATGTTTAATCTTTGCATCAGACTATGTTTAATCTTTGCATCAGACTATGTTTAATCTTTGCATCAGACTATGTTTAATCTTTGCACCAGACTATGTTTAATCTTTGCATCAGACTATGTTTAATCTTTCAACCAGACTATGTTAATCTTTGCATCAGACTATGTTTAATCTTTGCATCTGACTATGTTTAATCTTTGCATCAGACTATGTTTAATCTGAATTTTCATCCATTTTCGGATTAGCAGAATGCTGAGTTGTTTCAATTTTTCATTAGATATTTGTGTAAAACTTTGATGACTATGTTATTATTTTGTACCTTGTAGGTATAACAGAGGAAACCAAGGATAGCGTTAACTGTTTTACTATCGGGAAAAGACGAAATGACGACTATTTCGTTAGTCACGTGTTGGAGGCTCTGTTTACGAAAACCACCAAGTTACCCAAGTTAACAGAATATTCTTCAACTGACGGTACCTCATCTACCACTACATTGTCCAACGAAGACACAGTAGGAAACCCATCAACACCAACCGATGGTCTCTCGTTTATCGATAAAGTTTCCAAGACAGACACGACAGGAAACCCATCAATACCAGTTAACGGTCTCTCATCTATCGGTACATTGTCCAACACAGACACGGGGGGAAACCCATCAACACCAACTGATGGTCTCTCATCTATCAGTATATTGTCCGACACAGACAGGGGAGGAAACCCATCAACACAAACTGATGGTGTCACATTTATTGGTACATTGTCCAACACAGACACGGGGGGAAACCCATCGATTGACGGTCTCTCATCTATCAGTATATTGTCCGACACAGACGCGAGAGGAAAGCAATCCATACCAGCTATTGGTCTCTCATTTATTGGTACAATAAACACAGACACGGGAGGAAACCCATCAACGTTAACGGCGTCAACGAAACCAACACTGATTAAATGTAATGCTAAGTATTGTCAGAATGGTGGAACATGTTTTGAAGCATCAAATGGACCAACATGTTCCTGCACAACATCTTTTACTGGCCCTAGATGTGCAATCGAAATTAAAGATCAACCAACTTTAAGAGAGACGACACAACAAACGCTACTGAGAGAAAAGAGGACAGAGGGGCCACGTATCAAGAGATCTCCATTGATGTCGGCTATTTCGACTAGCACTGCAGAACCTCCAGCAACAATACCTACAGAAATGGAATGCAGCGAGGGCTTCTGCAAAAATGGCGGAACATGTTCCGATGATGGATCGGGACCCATATGTTCCTGCACGACAACATATACAGGACTCAGGTGCATGGAGAGTGTTGACCCATGCTCCACTAACCCATGTAAACTCATTGGTACAACCTGCGGAGAAGATCCTAAAAGCCATCTCGGCTATGTCTGTAAAACTGAAAAAGAAACTGTGACAGCTAAGATGGCAAAAACTACAGATCCTAATCGCACCTTTACAGACAACAAACCACCGCTGGATGATAAATCGAAAGTTATAGCAACATTCCTTGCTGCCGTAATGCTCCTTATTATTTCAGGGGTATTGTTTGTTTACGTAAGAAGTCTTACCACGGGAAAGTATGGACCAGATAATATCAATGACATTGATGCCGAAAAAGAATTAGGTGAAAAACTGTTAACCAAATCCAATATGAATTCACAGATCCATAGCGACCTGAATAACAACAATAATGTTGCCAAGCAACATGACCGTGTCCCTGGTGTCATTGCCAAAGCAAGCAGAAAGAAGGCGAGAAGAAACAGTCGAAACACAAATACAAAACTATACGAGAGCCGTCCCAACTGGCGTCACAAGAAGCAACATTCCACAAGTGCTGCAGAGATTGAATGTATAAAAACAAATGAGGCAGACCGACACACCAATAACAAAGGAAACACATTACAAGCTAAATCAGCCGAATGTACTCCACGGTTCGAATATGCCAATATGTCAAGTTTTCAATATGGTGGTGGTGACTGTTTGAAAAAGCCAAGCCCAGGAGCCAATACTAGCAGAACCACAGGAGCCAATACTTGCATGACCACAGGACTCAATGCAGGTAGAACCACAGGAGCCTATACTAGCATGACCATGGGACTAAATGCTAGTAGAACCATAGGAGCCAATACTTGCATGACCACAGGACTCAATGCAGGTAGAACCACAGGAGCCTATACTAGCATGACCATGGGACTAAATGCTAGTAGAACCATAGGAGCCAATACTTGCATGCCCACAGGACTCAATGCTAGTAGAACCATGGAAACCAATACAAGCATGACCATGGGACTAAATGCTAGTAGAACCATAGGAGCCAATACTTGCATGACCACAGGACTCGATGCTAGTAGAACCATGGAAACCAATACAAGCATGACCACAGGACCCAATATTAGCGGAACCACAGGAACCGATACTTGCCGGACCACAGGAGCCAGTGTAAGCAGGAGCCAAGGACACAGTGCTTCTTTTGCAGCACAAAGCGATTCTAACAAAGATCAGATGCCCTCAACCACCGAAGAAACGGTTTACTTCCCACCACTTCTGATCAATCAGTTTGGACCACAGTACAACTTCACTGATTCTAACAACGCTATGGACTATCTTGTTGAGTTTATTGAAAATAATTATCCAAATGAATAGACAGTTGCAGTTATAAGAACTCACATGAAAATGCAAATAGGCTCAACTCTGATAATATACTAAATAAACTCTTCTGATGATGAAGTAGATGAAATGAGGTGTAGGACCAACATGTTGATATCACAACCCGAGCAGCTCTCTGAGGTTTTCAATGTTTCACATTTTTCCTTTTTCACTTTTTTATCTTTTCACTTTTTTCCTTTTCACTTTTTTTATATTTCATTTATTTATTTGAAAATCTTAGAGAGATGATCACGTGCTTTGTCTTCTGTAGGTTCTACATTTGATTTTGCAATATGTAAATACATGTATGTTATAGTGTATTACTCCAGATGTCTTAAATATAACACAACTTTCTAAATATATTTTCAATAACTTGATTGATGATTTTCTTAAATATATTCTGGAAGTCGATAGTTTCGAAATTAGAATATCGCCTATCTTAACTCCAACCTAATTTGAGAGAATCCATATTAAAGGATTTAAGCCCAGAACTCGATGCATCGTGGATGATTTAATGTTATTGAGGTTGGATTATGTGATCTGATTTGGGATAAGTGATACCAGGACCATAGCCAGCTTTTGTCAAGGTTGGGAGGAGCCCACTCAAAAATTCCACTGGGGGAGGGGTGCTCTTTTGACTACTTCGGGCCAAAATCACTTAAAAACTGCTTCGAATGATTAAAAAACAGTATGATTTTTAAAGAATTTCTGGCCTGGAGGGGGTCACTCACTGGCTACGGACCTGGATGATCGCATAAAAGTAATGTCTTCAAAAGTACGAGCCAGGACCATTGGAGTAAATTACAAGTATGAAGTGGATGCCCCTTAAAACAACAGGGAATAATATTAATCTTTTTAAATATATATATATATTTTATTTTATCACATCTGATGTGTTATTATGTGTTACATATAATTATATTACTTATTCATTATATTTTTATTGCATTATCACATTCATAAGAATACTATAGTTTATGCCATCTGTGTTGAAAATGTAAATATTATACAATATCATATGACACTTGGATATGTGAGTGTGAGTGCAATGTGAGCACATGTGAGTGCAATGCATGTGATACTGCATACATATTGCATGATCCAAATATTACACATATGTATATTACATCATTCATCAATGCAGTTATTCCACTTAAAATGACAAATTCAAAATCTATCAGCAGCATATTGGGTTCCCTTCTAAATCTTGGCAAATGCTGTTTAATTTTAATTAACGCGCATTATTATATAAAGATTCAAATCCAAACAGGCTCTAACATGCTATCAAGTGAAGAGCTGGAAGATATCACTTTTACACCCTACTGTTATCTCCCTGAAACTTATTATTGTTATAAGTATAGAATATACATATATTATTGTACATATAGAAATGTATTAATAGCATAACATTTTTGCTCACTCATATGATTGTACTATGACAAAATATAGTTAATACTCTATAAGTATATAATTGAGAAAAGTATCAACATGATTAAAAATATCACAAGTTAATCCAAGGGTCCATAGTCCCAAAGGAACACAAACAATTAGAATATGCAAAATACATCTAGGCAAGGCGGTTATAAAAATAGGCGAGTTGAGGCGAAATTTGAGCTAGCGATTATCTATTACTATCACTAGATTTCATTTGATGGGTTCAATCAAAAATGTCTGTATTAATACAAACTGCTAGTGCATGACCAAACCCTTGATATGTAAATATAAATATTGATAATATATCATACAAAACATGTATATAATGATTATTGATCTCTTCATAGTTTAGGTTTAAGTTGACACAAGACAAGTTGCAAATTGCACCAAAGTGCCTAAAACAGCACCATGATATTACACGTGGAAGGTTTATATTCTGGATTGCCATGCCACTACATTTTTAAATCGCAATTCCCTGACTTCCCTCCCAATGTTTCTTTGATTAAAGCATTCCATTCACAAAATTTCACCACCTTGTAAGTTATCGCAAATTGTTGCAGACGCCGAACTCCAAATGCAAAACACTGTCCACAAAAAAGTTGGAGACTAAAACAATATGTCACCACTTGTAGTGGTAAAGCAATCTTCACATAACTCTAATTCTAATTCTAACACTATATTGAGCATATATTCACTTTGGATACTTTAAGCTGCCACAACTTCCATCGCACAAATCTGTCATCAAATCTAAAATATGAATTTTAACCAATTTGATGACAAGTTCATGATGAGTACTAATTTGACATCAAGCCTAGAATACTACAGGAAGTTCAACTTTGATGTTAAGTTCAAATAACAATTGTTACTAACACCTTAGAGGCCCTTAGCCAGGCGGGGTCCGACCCCCCCCCCAGCCAAAACTTCTTTCAAAATCATGCAGTTTTTCACCATTCTGAGCACTTTTTAAGTGATTTTGGCCATTTATGGACCAAAATTGTAAAAAGTGAACCCCTCTTAGCAAATCCTGGCTACTGGCCTACCTAAAGTCAAGTTTGGATTTTTAGCATCACACGACAATGTCAAGAAGATGTCTAATTGCACATGATGTCAAGTCGAGACACACACAATTGCCAATGTTCCATTGGTACCAAACCGAATCCAAGTCCGGATAATTGTTGATGCCATATATTCCTTGGTATGGATTCAAGTCCAGATTATTGTAGGTGCCATATGTTCCTTGGTAACCTATCTGGATTCAAGTCCAGATTATTGTTGGTGCCATGTGTTCCTTGGTAACCTATCTGGATTCAAGTCCAGTTTATTGTCGGTGCCATATGTTCCTTGGTAACCTATCTGGATTCAAGTCCAGATTATTGTCGGTGCCATGTGTTCCTTGGTAACCTATCTGGATTCAAGTCCAGATTATTGTCGGTGCCATGTGTTCCTTGGTAACCTATCTGGATTCAAGTCCAGATTATTGTCGGTGCCATGTGTTCCTTGGTAACTATCTGGATTCAAGTCCAGATTATTGTCGGTGCCATGTGTTCCTTGGTAACCTATCTGGATTCAAGTCCAGATTATTGTCGGTGCCATGTGTTCCTTGGTAACCTATCTGGATTCAAGTCCAGATAATTGTCGGTGCCATGTGTTCCTTGGTAACCTATCTGGATTCAAGTCCATATTATTGTCGGTGCCATATGTTCCTTGGTAACCTATCTGGATTCAAGTCCAGATAATTGTCGGTGCCATGTGTTCCTTGGTACCGATCTGAGGCAGCAAATTCACCTTACTGAGGAAGAGCAATGGAAATAGCACCAAGTGTCCTTTCACCCTTCCCAGCTCTTTCTTCGCTTGCTCTGGATCAGTTTTAGCAAGAGGTGGGTATTCCTTTTCATAGTTTTTCAACAATGTGTAGTCCAAGGCGTAGTCATTAGGTGCACAACGGAAAACCTGGAAAGAAACAAGAATAGATTCACTCAATTGAAAATCAATTCACCCAGTTGATAATCAATTCACCCCATTGGAAATTCATTCACCCAGTTGATAATAAATTCATCATGTTGAAAATCAAAATACACCCAACTGAGAATTCAGGTCATAAGAATATGAAAAATGAGGATTTTACATACAATTGAGAATAATATCTGGATAAAACCAGTAACAGTGATTTTCCCTAGCATTAAAGCAAGTAGGTGCAGTTAGCCACCTGAGATTAAAATCAGGCTTGCACCCACATACCCACCTGAATATCCATTTGCATCCACTTGAAAATGAGAAAAATCATGAAAAATGAGCATATTTTGCCCAATTTTGGTCTGAATAGTGAAAATGATCATTTTGCACTCACAAGGAAATAATCCTGTTGAGAACACAGAGTAACCTTCAGTCCTTACTTTCTTTCTACTTACACGATCATAGACAGATGTATTAGTGGCAGCATATTTCATCCACACATCCTTATAGAAGACATCAGCGATTGGGTCAGTCATTCTCACTTTATCATGCACAGTCAGGCCTAGATGCTCCCTGAAATAAAATGTTTTTATTAGCACCTCAATCTAAACAGTGTAAACTGTTAGTGTAAACTGTTCACTGCACCATGAGCAACTAAACAATAATTGACCTCTCCATTTAATTGACCGCAGTCTTAATTTACATTATTGCGATATAATTTTAGGTTTAGTCTAGCTACACGCCTTTGTGAATCCCCACGACACAGTTCCCCACATGTTGTGTTGGTGAAGCAAGGGTTTATTGTATTAGGATGACCAACTCTTTCACACTGAATTTTGTCAATGTCCAATTATAGCTTTATGCAGTTATGAGTGAGTAGCAGGATTCCAAATTCACCCTGACAATCCATATAGTATAGTAGGAACAAGGGGTTCCCATGCACCCATAAGGTGTGAATAAGTTACATACATTTTTGTAATCCATAGGGTGTCTATTTAATGAATTCATTTGTTAACATTGCCAACTAATGTCCCATAGTACTTTTATGGCGGCATTCAGTTACCATGGTTACGCATCTTTAGACATCTTACCTTGGTATCTTAAATCATTTGTAGCTCTGTCATTATTTGGTCTATAGAAATGATATTGGTACCAAATTAAACCTCGTTGAATTTCCAATAAATTTCTGATATTCAATTATGCAAATTATCTAATTTGCACAAATTATGACGTCATCAATCTATTTTTGGTTCAGAATTTCCAACTATAGCAACGTATCTATTAGAACTGAGGCCGTATGGCAAAATTTCTGAACGGTTTTGTCCTTTATTCTATTAGAAGAAGGTAGAAGCAACATAAAAGTGAAAACAGATTCAAAATTGAATCAGTATTACGAAAGTTATGTAACTTTCGAGGCAGCTATCGTGAATGTCATTATTTGACAATAATATACATACATCTTACCTTGGAGTCTTGAATCAATGTAGCTTCGCCATTATTTGGTCTATAGAAATGATATTGGTATCTGATTAAACCTTATTAAACTTACTATATGGTTACAATATTAAGTTATGCAAATTAGCTAATTTGCATTAATTGTGACGTCATCAATCCATTTTTTGTTCAGAATATCGTAGTATAGCAACATATCTATTAGAACTGAGACCGTATGACAGAATGTGTGCATAGTTTTGTCCCTTACTTGATGAGTGGAAGATATAAGCAACATTAAAGAGACAACAAATCTTCAAAATTGGATCAGAATTAACAAAATTATCCAGCTTTGGAGGAAGCTACTGTGAACGTCATTGTTTGACAATTATAAAAAGAACATTAAATTAACAAAAAAAGTAACAACCATCGTTGTTTCAATCTTATTGAGTAAAAATGTACATGTATTGAACTGAACTAATAAGTATGTGGAAAGGTTACATGCATTTTGACTATCATTCACAGGGGTCAAAACGGTTATCTCGACCCTGTATATTAAAGATCCAATCTTATAATTTACCATGCACTTTCAATGATTCATATAAATAGTATACATATAGTCTGATTTTCATCATATTCTTCATATTCTTGATTCTTAAAGCATCTGAAGTATATAGCACGATTAGAAGTGAAGATGATTCATCATATGGTTTATGTAATATTTCTAACATTTCAGATGCTATGGTAACATCACTTGATAATGAGGTTTTTACATTTTACGTTCTTAATGAGTTAAAAGGAAGTTATTCTCCCTTTGCTTTAGAGATAAATAGTCGCATGAATTTGTTTAGAAAAATTATAACTTAATTAATTTAACCCCCCCCCTGACAGCCCCCATATTTGAAGATTTTGGTGAAACCTGGCAAAATACATTAATTATTAGGTTCCAGAAGCCCCCAGAAGCTTTATGATGGCCCCCAGTGGCCCCAAGAATCAATACAGGGGCCCCAAGTAGCCCCAAGAAGCTATACTGTGCTCCCCAGAAGCTAAATGTTGGCCCCCAGAAGCTGAATAGTGGCCCCCAGGAGCTATACGGTGGCTCCCAGAAGCTATACAGGAAACCCTGTGGCCCCCAGGAGCTATACGGTGGCGCCCAGAAGCTATACAGGGGCCCCCAGTGGCCCCCAAAAGCTATACGATGGCCCCCAGAAGCTACACGGGGGCCCCCAGAGGCTATACTATGGCCCCCAGAAGCTATATAAGGGCCCCCAGAAACTATACTATGGTCTCCAGAAGCTATATGGTGGCCCCCAGTGGCCCTCGGAAGCTATATGATGGCCTCCAGAAGCTAATTAGTGGCCCCCAGGAGCTATACGGTGGCTCCCAGAAGCTATACAGGGGACCCCAGTGGCCCCAAGAAGCTAAACGATGGCCCCCAGAAGCTATACAGGAGCCCCAAAAAGCTACATGATGGCCCCAAGAATCTATATGATGGCCCCCAATGGCTCCCAGAAGATGTGAAGGGCCCCCAGTAGCCCCAGTAGGCCTGCAGGAACTGTACTGTAGCCCCCAGAAGCTATACAGGGGCCCCCAGTGGCTCCCAGAAGCTATAAGATGGCCCCCAGAAGCTATGCAAGGGCCCGCAGAAACTATACGGTAGCCCCCATAAGCTATACGATGGCCTCCAGAAGCTATACAGTGTCCCCCAATGGGCCACCATATAGCTTTGGGGGCCACCGTATAGCTTCTAGGGGCTACTGGGGGCCCTCTATAGCTTCTGGGAGCCATTGGGGGCCATCATATAGATTCTGGGGGCCATCGTGTAGCTTCTGGGGGCTGCTGTATAGCTTCTGGGGGCCATCGTATAGCTTCTTGGGGCCACTGGGGTTCCCTGTATAGCTTCTGGGTGCCATCATATAGCTCCTGGGGGCCACTAATTAGCTTCTGGGGGCCATCATATAGCTTCTGAGGGCCACTGGGGGCCACCATATAGCTTCTGGAGACCACAGTATAGTTTCTGTGGGCCCTTGTATAGCTTCTGGGGCCATCGTATACCTTCTGGGGGCCACTTGGGGCCCCTGTATAGATTCTTGAGGGCCATCATATAGCTTCTAGGGGCTTCTGGAACCTAATAATTAATGTATTTTGCCAGGTTTCACCCAAATCTTCAAATATGGGGGCTGTCAGGAGGGGGTTAAATTAAGTTATAATTTTTTTAAACAAATTCATGTGACTATTTATCTCTAAAGCAAAGGGAGAATAACTTTCTTCTAACTCATTAAGAACGTGAAATGAAAAAACCTCATTATCAAGTGATGTTACCATAGCATCTGAAATGTTAGAAATATTACATAAACCATATGATGAATCATCTTCACTTCTAATCATGCTTTATACTTCAGATACTTTAAGAATCAAGAATATGAAGAATATGATGAAAATCAGACTATATGTATACTATTTATATGAATCATTGAAAGTGCATGGTAAATTATAAAATTGGATCTTTAATATACAGGGTCGAGATAACCGTTTTGACCCCTGTGAATGATAGTCAAAATACATGTAAGCTTTCCACATACTTATTAGTTCAGTTCAATACATGCACATTTTTACTCAATAAGATTGAAACAACTATGGTTGTTACTTTTTTTGTTAATTTAATATTCTTTTTATAATTGTCAAACAATGACGTTCACAGTAGCTGCCTCCAAAGCTGGATAATTTTGTTAATTCTGATCCAATTTTGAAGATTTGTTGTCTCTTTAATGTTGCTTATATCTTCCACTCATCAAATAAGGGACAAAACTATGCACACATTCTGTCATACGGCCTCAGTTCTAATAGATATGTTGCTATACTAGGATATTCTGAACCAAAAATGGATTGATGACGTCACAATTAATGCAAATTAGCTAATTTGCATACTTGAATATTGTAACCATATAGTAAATTTAATAAGGTTTAATTAGATACCAATATCATCTCTATAGACCAAATAATGGCGAAGCTACATTGATTCAAGACTCCAAGGTAGATGTATGTATATTATTGTCAAATAATGACATTCACGATAGCTGCCTCGAAAGTTACATAACTTTCGTAATACTGATTCAATTTTGAATCTGTGTTCACTTTTATGTTGCTTATACCTTCTTCTAATAGAATAAAGGACAAAACCTTTCAGAAATTTTGCCATACGGCCTCAGCTCTAATAGATACGTTGCTATAGTTGGAAATTCTGAACCAAAAATAGATTGATGACGTCATAATTTATACAAATTAGATAATTTGCATAATTGAATATCAGAAATTTATTGAAAATTTAACGAGGTTCAATTTGGTACCAATATCATTTCTATAGACCAAATAATGACAGAGCTACAAATGATTTAAGATACCAAGGTAAGATGTCTAAAGATGCGTAACCATGGTAACTGAATGCCGCCATAAAAGTACTATGGGACATTAGTTGGCAATGTTAACACATGGATTCATTAAATAGACACCCTAGGGATTACAAAAATGTATGTGACTTATTCACACCTTATGGGTGCATGGGAACCCCTTGTTCCTACTATACTAATATATCGGCATATAAAACTTCATAAAAGTAGTTTTTTTCAAAATGAGATAAAAATCAGCTTTGAGTAAATATTCTCTGTTAGTGAACACCTCACCAGTGGAACACTATTTCATGGCACAAATTTTATTAACTTCCCATTGGATAACATTATGAAGATAATATTTGACATTTAATTTTCCGAACCTGGCAAAAATAAGGCAATAGGCAAATTAAATGATTAGGCAAAATTTACACTTTTATAGTATATGTAGTAGACTAAATTGTTTCAACAATGTTGGTGATTATCAATAAACATACCTGAATAGAGTTTTCCTTAGACTGGATGCAAACTTTCCAGCCTTGTGGTCTTTCCCTGCAAACTTGACTTTAACAAGTTGGGTATCTCGTACAATCATCGCAATCTCGCTATCACGTTTACCCATCATGCTCCTGTCATTGATGTTTGCCGATCCAATGATTGTTGTGTCGTCATCCACGATCATTAACTTGCTGTGGACATACACTAGTTCAGTTACCTGGAAAAGTTTTGCATTTTTTTGTCAAAATGTGACCCTAGTTCAAGTGTGACACTCGTCAAAATATGACCTTTGTAAAATGTGACACTGGTCAAACTTGAAATGTGACCGTTAAAATTAAAATGTAAAAGTAGTCAAGCTCAAAACTCTCACTTGAAATGTGACCCTCAGGTTAAATTTGAAAGCCAACACTAGTCAATCCTTATGTATTGTACGTTCTATCATGCATATTCGTTCAGGCATTAAGGATTTAAGTACTGGAGTAGTACATTGTGGACTGAATCATTCCTCCAGGGTGTTGTTTCAACCTTGCCACGAGATGTGCAGCATAGAGTGTGAAGTTTAGGAAACAGCGCCTGAGTGGAATGAATCAGCCATAATGCATTGTATCTATGACTTAAATTCTTGTCACACATTGCGAAAAAATATTTCATATGATATTACTTAAAAGATACAAAATCACTTAAAAGAACACCTTTTGAGGAAATGTTTTGCAAAGGTCGAGTTATCATCATCTGAATTTCAATCTGTTCTGGATTATGTGCATTTTTCCTATGAATATTATATTCACTTTCTTTTTCATTCCAAAGATTTTGAGGAATATCATATTTATCTACTAGGTTCATGCATATTTGTTCAGGACAAAAAGCCTGACTTTTTCTCTTTGTTGAATAAACTGAGACTTGACCAAATGTAATCTCTATCATAGTATTTTAAATTGAAAGGTCACAAGCATTTTGCTCAAAAATTAACCTCAAACAACTTTTCCTTTCAGGAAAATAAAAAATTTTGACCATTAGAAATTATTTTCAAACTTTGTATGGGGCCTTTAATATTTATATTTTAAGGATCGTTTTATGAAAATAACCAAGAATAGCCTGGAATATCAGTGTGTAAAGTTGTCTGAATCCATTAGCAATACTCATGCAAAAGACAATGTACGCCAAAGACACTGTATGCGACACTGTATGCAAAAGACACTGTATGCCAAAGAAGTTGTATGCCAAAGACACCGTATGCTAAAGACACTATGCCAAAGACGCTGTAATTTTGTCTGAAACAAAGTAAGGTCTACAACTACATTTCACGTCTTATCATGGGCAAAATAAACTTGTTTTACCTGTTAATCTTCAAAGATATTCAAAAAAGGTATTTCTTACCAGGTTCCCATTTAAAGTGTCGTGAGTGCGGAGACCACAAAAGCTGATATATTTCAAGGGATCGCCAACTGAAATCACAACACATAAATTATTACACGTGATATTATAGCATGATAAAAGGTCACAACCTGTTCACAGTAAATAGAGTGTAAAAATTGCCAACATCAAATGATTATCACAAAAGTGTTGAATGTAACAATATGTCACTATTTCTTGGTACTACAATTAGAAAATATACTTTATTTCCCCCAAAATGATATTGTCTTAAAATTTGGCTCTGAATTATAAATAACAGTTACTTTTAATATGAGAGTACACAGTGACACAAAAAGGATGATCGCTAATTTTGCATTTAATCTCAATTATTGATGGAATCTTTATGTTTTCTGAACCACAGGAAAGAATACGTGTATGTAAAACACATAATGGTGCAAAATCAGGGGTAGCATTTTTGTATTACCCTGTACATGGATATTTTGCAGACATGCTGTTTTAAAGTCAATAAACTTTTTCTAATTTAAAGAGTGCACAAAGAGTTCTGTTCTTCTAAAGGGTAATTTACCTTTTGTCTGCAGCCGTTCTATTAATGAGTTACCACCCCTACATATAGACTGGTAGTTCCAATGTGTGATTGCTTGGATGGCTGTTCCTTTATTAGTGCCTAACTCCCCCTCAAAAGCTGGCAATAAAGGTAGTACAACAAACACCCTAAAGGTGTCACCAGCTCTAAAATAATAATAGAGGAACTATTTTAGCAATATTTTGCAATAAATAGTTAAAGGGATAGCAATGGATAGAGATAAGCAAAGCTGTTTCTTCCAGAAAGATTGATTCGATTTTGCAACATGATTTACGAAAATACTTTTCAAGCTTATTTGAAAGGACTGACAGGCCCTTTTCAAATCTCATGATTAATGAATATGAAACTTATCTGAAGCCATAGATTGGAAAATAATTTTGTAATTACTCATGGGCTTTGACTATCCTTTCATAGATGGCGTCACCTATCGCATTTTCAACAACTGGATGGCCGGACACACTGATGAAAAACTGGTTCTGAAAAAATAAAAGCACATTGCTTCTTGAGAATAACAATTCATACTGGAAAGATGAACTGGCAACAATCGGTATAAAATACTTTGAGATCAGATTTGTCAAAATTTTACGACAAAATAACTAAACTAAACAACAATAAACTTATATATATATCTTTTATTGACTCTTTAGATGTCATGACCTGACATATTAGTCATTACAAAATGAAATTTTACAAAATTACACTACACTACACTACATATACAATGTATACACAGCATATTTACATATGTTATAATATACTTTAGGTGTGATGCATCCAAAATGTTAATCTCCAGGCAAGTTTAAGTTTTTGAATGATTTTGTAATAAAACTTCCAACTTGCTTTTGCACATATTTATCTTTTGAAGATATTAACATAATGAATGTATTTTCAGGATCATGTTGATCAACATTAATTTTGCTAGTGATGTTGTCAAACAATATTTTTCTATTTTCTCTATGTATTTGGCATTTAATCATGAAATGAACCTCATTTTCTATTTCCTCACAAAAGTTACATAATCTTTCATATTCTATACATGCATGACATGTAGGCAGTACAATCTTAGATTTTCTATGTTCCCATTTAATTTGCATTTTTTGATTTGAATTCTAAAATTAGTGAAAAATCTACAATCTACAAGTTGGTATGTGACAGTCATGCATATGAGATTTTTCCACTCTCAGATCAGAGTTGCTTTATCATGCATGCTAAAATCAGAATCAGCAAAACAGTCTAAAAATGTTGTAACTATGAAATGAAAACAAAGTCTTAAATTTATGATAACAAAACAGGAAATGTCGATTAAACAATTATCGATTATATTATAAGACATTATACAACCTTAAAATATAAAATATATTGTTAAGTGTCAAACAAATAAATAAATGAGAGAGGAATAGAGAAATAATTCTACACATCTGTCAAATAGGCCTACAGAGAGACTTTTATGCCCAAATATAGCAATTTCAGATTATATTCAATAAAGTTAAAATAGAGTTTGTGAAATGTATTCAACAAAGGCAAGAGTTACTAAATAAGTGGAATTATGTAAAAAAAATGGGATGAAAAGGAAAAAATATCAGGGAAGTGATCAAAACATTCATACAAAATGAAGCATTCAGAACAGGTTTTACTGTAGATAGAATGATAAAGGATTTTTGCTACTCAGCTCTACTATTGACCAATCAAATTGCAGCAAGTTGAGTGATCCAGCAGATCAGCTAGTCTGTCATCATTTTTTGGAATATTCTTCACTGTTTCAGGTAAGTATGGGTTAATTAAGATGTAGATCTACATAACCTATATAATTTATTGAAATCAATAACTAGCCATCAGTTTTATGTAAAGTTTTTTCAGAGAAATTTCTGATTATGGCTGCAAAATAACATAAGTCTAGCAGTCCAACATTGAAATTTCAAAAATAAAGTAGATTGAGTAGTCTAGTCTAAGCTTAGGTGTCAAGACTGACTAATGTTTCTTGACTCTCACTCTGATTCTTAAAGCTTATCCTTTCCAATAATTTGCTTTTGCTACTTAAAAGAGAGTTTCATCTGCACTCGTTGAGTCAGTGATAATCCTTTGATCTAGCTAGCCCTAAACTCGAATAAACTATAGTTGTCGTGATATCATATTTGAAATCTACATGTAAAATTACATCTAGAAATGTGGTTTTAAAAAGTTGAGGAGATTCATCGGTATAACAACAAAAAGTGAAATAATTATATTTTCTTGAATTGGACAGATAATATTTTCGTTTACTGGACATATTTTAATTTGTATAACTATCAGATAATAATTATATAAAAAGGGTAATAACATGAAGTAAATGTATCCTGACGGTGTTATCTGCCCCAAGTTAGCCACCTGGTGGTGAAACTGGTAACTACCAACTCACATCTCTTACAAACTTGCATGACACTTTGAATTGGTTTAGGAATGTGGTCATTGAAAATTTTGAAAGTTATAATAATTGCGATAATGATAATGAAAAAATGTCAAAAATGAAGAAAAAATGAAAATGTCAAATGCATATACTGTATCTTATGGTTAGTGAATGGTGTAGACTAATGGGATTGAGTCATTTCATTGTTAATTTCATAGGCTAAGGTCGATAGAAATAATTTTTAAATGATGGCATGGTAAAAAGATAATACTGGATTCTTTCTGGTGCTGCCATCTTTATATCGGCCCAGAACCTATGATTAATTTGCTTTATAGAAGGGAGGAAAAATGATGAGCAACTATAACAAAGATCTAGAAAATAACTTACTTCAATATAAATGTAGTGTTTGGCGAGCTGAATCGCTTTAATATATGCCTGGTAGATAGATGTCTCTGTATGCTGTATACCCGCAGACCAAGTGTCAGCGCTTCGTAATATCTGCAATCAAAAAAATTAACAGTGCTCACGTACATAATTAGAAAAAATACATACACCGTAAATTTCAAGCAAAAATATCCATCCAGCAAAATGCTGGACAGAAAATGTATACATGAACTTTAAAACAAAAAACCCATAAAGCCCTTACTTAGAATATTTCCGAGCTTCAATTTAAGCCTTTCTGTACCTTATATCGAGAACTTTTCAAAATTGGTGTTAACCTTTTTATGTAAACATATTTTCATTAAGGACATGATTAAACCCAATTAAAATACTGTATGTAAACTGACCTGACAATCTGCCATTATAGCTGTTGACGAGATCTTTGACGGGACTTGCACCTTGTTGTAAGATTTGGGTAAGAGGAGAGGGCAGTCTTTGTTTTGTCGCATCTTCTTCAACTGAAAAAATGAACCAGTCGAACCTTATTGAATCTCGCTTACTCAGATATCTTACCGAGGGGCTTATTGTATGCAGTATACTTTGGCTCAGATGGGGTACCATTTTCTACTTTTGGTATGGGAATGGACCCATATTATTACATTTGGTATGAGAATTGTCCTGGAATTGATTGATATGTCAATGGTTTTACAATTATACAAATCTGGTATGAGAGTGGCTGTAGACACTATTTTGCATCATGTATTGTACTTGCAGGTAGTATATCTGTAATTTCTTTGAGATTGCAGGCTGTCATAATTAACACATGTCATCTCTTGATCTATTTTTAGGCAAAATAATGGCTTTGTTTTAAATGTACTTGCTAATTTTTTGCAAGGGTTAACCATTAATATATGCAAATGCGTTGTCAATTGCATTGTCAATAAATGTAAAAATCAATGCAAGGCCTAACAATCACAACAAAAAAGATCTCATATTTTATACAATATGGGAAAACGACAGAATAGTATATGCATACAGAGTTAACATTATATACAATGGCGTAGACATGATTTGGTGACCAGGGGTTCTGTATTTTTTATGTTATGCCTGGGTCACATTTGTCCCGATTTATAGGCCTGTGCCCGGCCAATTTAGTATCCTGTTTACAATTGTATTCCGGTTTGAACACAATACTCAATTGGCCGGGTGACTCAATGTATTTTTTGGAATCTTGTAACCATGACAACTTATAAAATGGGACTTAAAAACCTGATCATTCTGAAAGAGTTTATCGCATGCTTTAAAATGATATATAACACGAACGTATGCCCATGGATACACTACATATATTATTTCAGAAGTACCATATATGGCAATTTTCAAAAATTCGTCAGTATTTTAGTGCTTTTTGGCCCAGTATTGAATGAGTAACATGTAAGGTTATTCTTTCCAAACACCTGCACATGTTATTTTCTGGTACAAAATAAAATATGATGGCGTGTGTATTTCATTGCTTTTTTTTAAAGAAAGTATCCTTGCAAGTTGCAATGTCTTCTTTTAGTAAACCTGGTAACAGGTCAATGGCGACTCCAGGAAATGCTGATATTTCAAGGAAAATCATTCAAAATGGCCGCCTTTTAAATTTTCCAAATTTCTTCTCCAAGTTTCTCAATAACACTGGATTTCCATTGACCACTTACTAGGTTTACTTAGAGAAGACAATGTAATGATACTTTTCAGATAAAAGCAAGGAAATACACACGTAATGCCTTCATACTTTATTTTGTACAAGAAAATAACATGGGCAGGTATAGCATTTTTTCAAAAATGTTGTTTAGAAAGAATAGCCTTAATGTTTTCACGTTAATGGGTTCGTCCGAACCAATCGAACTCCCGGTCCTTACGGCTATGACATAGGCTACTGGTATTAATATTAAATAACATACCAAACATACCACATGCATATCTCTTGGTAAACTGATCATACATGAGGTGAAAGCAATTCTGGTTATTATGTCTCTATAGCGCTAGTAATATATATAATATGGAATTAAGGATGTAATCTTGAGTTTGTTATCTCAAATATCTAGTGACCGATCAGACATGATATTGCACATGTTCTTATTACTTTCATGAGTGATGTTTCACAAATGAAGAAATTGCAAGTTTGAAATGTTTTGTTTTAAAAAATTTCTGCATAACAACATTAATCCAGGCTTATGAATAAATAATAAATTATAAAGCAGTAGCGATTAAATATAAAAATCAATTATTATCTTGACCTGCAGACCTCCAGGGCTTACACCTGGTATCTGCAGATATCTTGGCTTATCTACTCCCATTTAGTCTCGGTTTGGAGAACTAAGTTCATCAATCTACTCTTTTGAATATTCATTCATGAAAAAATTATTACCCGAGAAGACTTCTCCAAATCAAGACTTGTCCCTTGTGTTTTTAAACTCGAAAAATATAAAATCTGCAAAATTCCAGTAATTAATCAAATTCACAATTTCCAGTATTCCTTCAGTGTCATGAAACAATTATTATTGTATGAGTAAGGTTCCTTTGAAATTAGTACTCTTGACTGAAGGCCAGACTAAAACATCTAAAACCAGAACAACGGCAACGCCAAAGCGTAGCGAATCCCATCGAACAGAAATGGCTGGCAATTTTACAAACGAATAGCAAATATCATAAAACAACACACCAGAAAGGCCACCATTTTCAAAATGGTTGCTCACTAGCCAAGTTGTCATCAGAAGAAATAATATGCTTTTTAGTAGCCACCTCCAAAATTTTTGAAAAATCGCACACGTACTTGTAAAATAACACACATGAAAATGGTGGCCATTTTTCAAAATGGCCAACTACTCACCAAAGTTTTATTAGACAATGTGCCATGCTTAAACTATTCACATATTAAATATGAACAAAAATCGCTCCACTACTTTTTTTAAAATGGCGGCCATTTTTCAATTTTTTTTCAAAATGGCCGCCTTCTACCCAAAGTGTCAGAGGACAGTGTGCCATGCTTATATTATTCACATACCAAATATGAACAAAATCGCTCCACTACTTTTCGAGTTATAGTAAAATACGTTAAAATGCCGGCCATTTTTCAAAATTTTTTTTCAAAATGGCCGCCTTCTACCAAAAGTGTCATAGGACAGTGTGCCATGCATATAGTATTCACATACCAAATATGAACAAAATCGCTCCACTACTTTTCGAGTTATAGTAAAATACGTTAAATGGCGGCCATTTTTCAAAATGGCCACCTTCTACCAAAAGTGTCTTTAGACAGTATGCAATGCTTATAGTATTCACATACCAAATATGAACAAAATCGATCCACTATTTTTTGAGTTACAGCAAAAATCGTAAAATGACGAGTAAAGGCCGCCATTTTTCAAGATGGCTGCCATGTGCTTCTTTAATATCTACATTTGTAGCATTATTAATGTCCTTTATAATTTTTTTACATTTAAAACATATTGCTGTTACAGTTTTACATATAGCCTTGCCCCAAGTCGGTCTCTTTTACTTATCTTGATTTCTATTATGACCGCCTTGTACCAAAGAGAAAGCCACGTGCTTTACCGACAGTTTGTTTATGTCGGTGATTTTGACCAATAGCACGCGATCTTTCAATGTCTAAATTTAGGTTACAAACACACGAGGTAATACAGTTGTTGATTTTGCTCCAATCAGCAATTTAGTATTGGAACCTTTGATAGTGGCATTGTGGGAAGTCCTACCTCGCTTTACTTTCATCAGCTAGCAAAACTGAAAATGACCCTCGCAAAATCGATAAACGTTTTATTTGCTAAATATAATTGAAAGTAATTTGAATGTAGTGAACCGATTTTATATCAGAAAGTTGATGACTGATCAGTTCACATATAAACACTTATAGTTATGCTGTGAAAAGGATAATGAAAAGTTATTATGGTTCTGGTGAATGCGTTTTATTTGTAAGGGAGATGCCTGGATTTGCAGACTGCAAGCATGCCGCATATAACTTCACAACCGCATGGCGAACACGTGGATTTATTTATTGATTTTTGTGTATGACTACCGCTATTGGCTAATGCTATAGGGCACGCGTAATAGTTGGTGCATAATTTATCATAATAACAGTGGAGATGTATCGGATTACACAAGGCGATAATAATTCAAGATCAGATAAAGTAAAAAATACCGACTTGGGGCAAGGCTATTTTACATATTGCACCTAAATTACTGTAAAATCGGCACTAAAATGGCCGCCATTTTGAAATGAGCGGCCATTTTGAAAATCGGCTTTCGAGCAGAACTTCTACCCCCATAGGGTATATGTGTACAAAATATGAACAAAATCGGGCCAACGGTATTTGAGTTATTGCCCGGACGGACGGATGTACGTACGGACGGACGGACGTACGTACGGACGGACGGACGTACGTACGGACGGACGGACGGACAGAGGCGTTCCCTATATCCCTCCGAACTTCGTTCGATGGGATAATGATGCATCCATGATGTCAATATACTATATCTAGTAAACCCCACACACCAATTATCAGAGAATACGCAAAATACCAGTGAAATTTTAAAATCACAAAATCATGGAAAAGTATAAAATAGAAAAGTACAAAAGTAAATTTAGCCTCATGATTATTACCTTGGTATAATTCCAGCGTTGAATAAAATGCCTTGAGACGTCTCGAGCACATTTCCCAAAAACAACAGCGCCAATATCGTGCCAAGGCATTCTGGGAGTGACTGTTCGGTCAATGAAATCTACATAAAATACAACATAGAATCTAAAACTATATTAAAGTAATAAAAGTTTACAACATGAAAGAAACAAGGCACTGACATGCAAAATGTCACCACCTGCAAACCTCCAAACACCAACCATCGCAGGGGTCTCACCTGGAAATATTTAGGGTATGGTGCAAACATCTTCAGCATTGCCGTTGAAACGTGATAAATCATATTTATGTTATGTTTTATCCTTTTTACATGCTATTATTGTATATTCAGTCAAGTTTAGTCTGTGGAAACAATCATGATTTGCCAGTAGGGTGTGGTGGGAGCTAAATAGAGTGTGGTGCTGCACCACAGTCTAAAAGCCTGGCGAGAGCCCTGCATCGAACACTGGCACAAAAGTTTGAGATACTATAACAATATGTTACCACTTCTGGTGGTGACATAAAAAGCAAAGGTGGAGTGTGTAGATATTACATCAGAGAACATTGACAATAGGCTAATAGCTAATGTGTATTCATGTGAATGTGTAATATATTGGCCCTATAGGGAATACTACAACCTTCTCAATTAAGCTTTAATGGTCAGTATACTGAGTATAATCAAGAACATCTTGTACAATGAACAATAAAATTCGGAAACGAGTATACAGATTTGCTTTCGAACACTGAACCCATTGACCTAGATAATAGTGAAGCATCTTCTTTGGTCAAGTGCTCATTTGTTTGTGGATTTTCAATGTAACTCCATAATGCAATCTGAAGATGAGTTCTTTTATTCTGTTGTTGCATCGATGTTGCAGTTTGTACTGTAATGCGATAAAATTGGAATGAAAGTGTTGAAAGTCGAATGGCGACTAGTTAAGTGATCACGTGACTCTTTCTTCCGGAATGTTTTCTCACTTTTCAATCATCGTTTTCACCACGCTATGAATCAAAACAATGAAAAAATATCTGTTATATTAAGATTAATTATATCAAGGGAAAACAAGGAAGTATGACTTTGTTCCTCCGCGAACTGTATCATGGGAAATATTTTGGCCTTATAAGGAAAATCTTTCGCATCTCCTCTTTTGAAGAGGGAACAACGAATACGACAAATGGACCTAATTTCATCCCATCTACAAACCAGATGGTGTCCAATGTCAACAACAGTTAGATGGTTCCATATAAAAATACAGAAAGGTTTTACCTAATTTGGCAGCTGTTTAAATTCCCCGGGATTTTAATACCATGTAAATTTGTACCATTCATGCATTGTAATATTGCAAGTCTGCCAAATTAAGTAGCAAAAATAAGAAGCGCCAAATTAAGTAAAAATACAGTATTTCTCATTTGACTATTTTTCAACAAGAACGAGCGCTTTCTTTTAAATGCAGTCTAGATGAATTCAGATTAATTTTTTGTTATGGCGCAAAAAATTGATAATAAATAATTGAATTGAATTGTAAGATCAATACTAGGTTGTTTTTTTTATTTTTTTTTTATTTATTTATTTATTCATATATATTTCAACATCAAATGTACAGTAAACGGGTGACACTTCTCGTGTATATTCCCGTGTTTATAATCATGAAATGTACAGATTGAGGGTACTATACATTTATTTGGTCAATTATACATGAAGCTTATTCATCATCAATTATCCGAGAAATTGTATGAATCAGTGCCAAATGCTAATTATACCATTTCATCAGGTTTTATACCTGCATGATGTATGTGTCTATGATAGACAGATTTATTAATCGATCACAGAGTATAAGACTATAATGGGAAAATTGAACCTCACATTTTGTTGAGACCAGTTGCATGAACTATAATTCTCCGCGAAGGCTAAAATGTGGACTTCTAGTGGTACACTGTGATAGTATATGGCAGCATGAGGTTTAAGTGGGTCTATCTACGACCACGGGCAGGTATGTTTGTAACAGATGGGGGGAGGGGTACAGGGGCTTGAAGCAAGACTATATGTACTAGAGAAGGTAACAGGTATATATATGCAGTGTTCTCCCCAAAAAATCTTTCAACTGGGTGCAAGATTTCAAGTCTGAAAAAATCAGCAATCGTTACGCTCACAATATCTCAGTGTAGGTGCTTACTTCACTCATTTTTCAAATTTGAAGTTGAAGTGCAGATTCCAACTGGGTGCCAACTGGGGGGCCTTTGGTTTCAAGTAGGGGGAGCCCTCGGTAAAAGTGACATGGGGAGATCACTGATATGATAGATGATAATTTTTGTCCCAAATAGAATTATCTTTATCAATTATTATGGCCTAACCAAGAAAGCCAAGAAAGCTGACAAGAATACTGCAAAATAAATAAAACTTGGTTAGGTTTGTTCACGTCTTCCATATACAGAAAATAACTATGTGGAAATCATACACTGAAACACAAGTAGTAGACTATTTTTCTCTTTAATAATTAGATTTCACAGACAAAAACACACACATGCACACAATATAGGGAACATGGGCTCTAAATACTGTAGTTTGCAGCAATAAAACTTGGAAAAAGATCATCAGCATACTCTATTATAGTCAGGCCCGTAGCCAGGATTTGCCAAAGGGGGTTCAGTTTTCAAATATTTCCGGGGAGGGGTTCACATTTGACAATTTTGGCCCAAATATGGCTAAAACCACTTGAGAAGTGCTCAAAATGGTGAAAACTGCATGATTTTGAATGAATTTTTGGCCAGGGGCGGGGGGTTCGCCTGAACCCTGGCTACGGGCCTGATAGTTTCACTTGTATAATATGGGTACATTTTCAACAATGATGTAACTATACTAAAAGGTGGAATGAATACTAATGAAAAGAAATCTATAAAGTAATTTTTATTCACCTGTGAATGGAGAGTCGAGTTCGTGGAAGTCCTTTGCTATGAAATTGCAATAGTCTTTGCCAATCCATAGTTTAGTTGAGCCCTCCAAGCCCATGTTCTTAAGCGTCAGTGCTTCCTCAATGAATATTGGGTAAATGCTGAAAAACAAAGATAGTAAGTACACCCCTAATTTAAATCTATGAGGCACAGCATCTCCATTCAGAATACCAAAATGCTCCTCAATGCAATCAAATTCGCCACCTAAAATGTTACAATATAAACAAACAAAAACGATAAGGAAAACCTAAAATTACAAGATTGAAAAATATTGCCAAAAAGTAACAAAACTCTAAAATGTCGCACTAAAAATAAAAAAATCCTCAGCACAAAAAATCCTGGGCAGAGCACTGTAATACACATATATATACACATACTAGTACATTTTGGATTGACTTCTAGAAAAAAGGGAATTATTATTTGACAAAATCAATAAATGACCCATTACATTTACCAGGAGGGAAGTGGGTCAAAATCTAAAAAGTAATTAGGATAATTATGAAGACCAACAACGTTAACGATGAAAATGTAATTACAAACATGATCTCATATCTCTAGAGGTTCATATTGATTTGATTCAGGTATATTCTCAGGTACGTGGACATGTCATGTAATCTAAGACATGTGCAATTTATATTAAGAATATAATATAATCAATGGGTTTGAGGACAGTCAGGGGATCCAATTAGCAACATTTGTGGAATAGGGAAGTCGGTATTGATTTCTTAAAGGCCCCTTATAAAGTTTTAACCACTTTGGCTTGTGTTGTAGTCTTACCCAATGGTAGCAAAATGTGATTTGTGATTTTTAATTTCAAAAAGAGATTTTTGAAGAGATTTTTGATGGACTTTTTGTGAATTAATTCAAAACTAAATTTTAGAGGTCACACGTATGTTTTAATAAACGATATCTCACAATAATGAATTAAGCATTCATCTTCAAGTGTTTTTTGTCGAAAAAATTAAGAATATTGTTAGATAATTAAGTTAACAAGTGGAGTATTGTTTTTGAAAGCAAATTTAATTAAATTTAATTAAATTTAAGTTTTAAATTTAATTAAGAAATTAAGAAAGGAATGAATTCATCCAAGCATAAAAGTTGTTTGGAGAAAAAAGCATTTCTAATTTCAGTTTGCATAGAAACCAATGATACAGTAACATATTCTTCTCTCCAACCTAGTTAGAAATCAACATTGGTTAATTTTGAAAGTTAAAGAGAGAATCAGAGATAGCGAGCAGGCTAAACGAAAAATTGTTTCAATCTTAGAATATTTTTGGCTCATGTCATTCCTTGTCATGTCTATTTTCTAAAAATCACAAAAGTGCATACTTTATTCAAGGAAAACGAAAGATTTTTACAATAATGTATTATTTCTCTATAAGAATGGTTACCATTCTAATTATTTGGGAGAGTTTAAACATTTTTCACCCATTTTTGCACTTTGAATCATTAATAACTTCACCTATTTATAACATATTGTTAATCTTTTGGGAGATATTGTATTTGATATTGTAAGGAATAGATTGGTAGGTCAATTATGCAAATTGCTTGTAATTTTGTCACCCCCAATAGATCTGATTCTGCCTTTAAATATTAAATTTTTATCAGAGCTTTTGACGAGTAAATTTTGACCATTAAAGGGTTCCGATTAGCATCCCGTATAAAAACAATATGGCGGCTCCAGGCGAATCAACTGGATCAGTCCATTTTTAAGAAATAAGGGGAGTTCTGTAAAATCCAGTTTATTGAAATTGTCTTTGAGATAAAGTAATCCGTTTATAATGATTTTGAAAACGTTATCCAAAGAGTGATTGCGTTCAAATAATACATGTACAACAGCCAATATAAATTCTTGTATTAGAAACCGGTTTGTCTTGCTTTGTTTCATTTGTAGGATATTTCATATGCCAAGCTGTGTGCTATTACGTTATGGGGAAATTTAGATGCCAATTTTTCCTTATTATACACAAATAGAAGATCCTGAAACTTCACCCATAAATGTGGAATTGATTTGTCAAAATAAAAATCACCCTTTTATAAATGTGTGACGATCTATAATATACTTATGCTATATAACAGTTAGAGGTGTTGACACAACGACCTCAAACCTGAGAACCCTTGAGTATTATTCCGGGATCGGGCCTTTTATACTAAACGGTGAGCAACACCAGAAACGAGCGTTCGATTTGCTAAACGATATGCGTCACCCTTTAAGGAGTCAGTATTCACAGTGATAGTTACCTCAAGTCTTCCTCAGATTTTCTCCTTCCTTTGCGAAACTTGTTGGCTATCATTGAAGCCTAAAAAGGAGCATGTAAATGTTACTTCATAACAATGTCTTTTAATCTATTTACAAGCAATATTTAGTATTTATATCATCTTAGCAAATTAATACCCAATGTTTGAGGGGAATGATCTTCATATGATTCACATTATTAGTAAGGGGAGATTTGAAATGTGTTGTACTAGATATAGTATATTATTCATCCATTGAATGTAAAATTAATCACAATAAAACATGTGATTTTGCAAAGTTTCACAGTTTCACTCTTATTCAATTCTTTCTACAAAATTTTCTAGCTTTTTGTGATTTAATAGTTTGGTAAAAATCTAGACAAGTTTACCAGAACTATGCCAGACAATTTCTTCCTGCTAGCTGGTGGAGTTGATGGTTTCACTCCTTGTTGGTTCATGGCAACAGAAAAAGATGGCTCTGCTTCGGGACTACCAGGTGTCAAAGGAAATTGTACTGTTTTTATACTAGTATCACTAGTTGGAGAATTAAGCGCCAATTCTGAGTTATTTTGAACACTGGATGGTTCACTAATATCAGTCAACATGGGTGCTCCGCTAGACTCAGAAAGATTATACAAATTATAACTGTCATGTGACAAAGACCGTCGGCTTCGGAATGTCGAAGAAATGGCTCCTGAGAGATTCAACCAAAGTTGTTTTGGACGTCTACTTTTTGATATTCGCCTGATTTTACCATCAGTGTCATTGTCATTGGTTTTGGTATCATCTAACAAATTCATTGCATTGTCAATGTTCTCAATCTTTTCTGTATTATCAATTTTTGATATGTCAAAAACATTCTGATTATCGCCCCCTCCTTTGGGTTCTTGAATTGTATGCTCTTCCTTGAACATCAATTTTTTATTTTTGTTATCATCTGTTATATTTTTGTTATCGTCTATTGCATCAAGTTTATTATTCATTGACTGTTTATGTTCAGAAACAAGATTGACATCAGCTTGCACTGATAATGTATTTTGGATATCATCTCTTTTATGTGAACCACAAGGTGTTTGGTTCTTCCCATCATCAGAGGAATGTTGAGTCTCATCATTTGTTTTACAGTCAATTGTAGCAGGATTCGATGTGTGCTCAATATTATTTGTGCTCATCTCATTTGATGTTCTTTCTGGCAAGCAAGCAGATGGATTATGACTATTTTCGGACATGCTATGTGGGGCTTCCAAGGGGCCACCATCAGTGCCATCTATGTCTGGCAAGTCAGTATAAAATGTAGATGTCCTTGTAGAACTGAGTGGCTCTGATGATGTCGTGAGATCAGCCTGGAATGTCACACTGTTTGTGTCAGCTGGCTGGTTCAGAACAACAGATCCCAAATCTGTTAATCTGGAAAATATTTGAAAGATTGACATATCTGATGGGAATTTATTTTAATGATTTTCAAAATTTTTGGATTTAGGGGCCCAAATGTTTTTGTCTGATTTGAAATTTGGGCCCATCTTGTCAGGGTCTGGATCCGCCAGTGAGAGGGATGTTTCTTAATGTAGGTACTCAATTTTGGCTATATCGTAATTTATGGCTTGGAACCTGATTAGAACCTGACAGGTATAACTGAACAAATACTTAGTTTCTCAGTCTATTACCTGCCAATCCCAAACAGTAATGATCCGGAAGACTTATATTTTACTGTATCAATGATATGGTTATTTAATTTAGGTCACTTCATTGCTTGTTCTCTATTCAAAATGTGTCAATTATTTTGGAGACACTCATATCAGTGGCCTTGATGACATCCTTAAAAGTTACTTACTTATGTCGCGGGTCATCCCATCGGCCATACGCCAAATCTAGGCCTCCTAGGAACGCCACCTTTTGGTCGATAACAATGATCTTCTCATGATGTGCCCAGAGACTGACTCCATCAGGATGTCTCATCACCTGAAGGGGAAGAACAAACAACCAGTGTTAAAAATGACATGACATCATTCACAAAACATACTCGAAAAAATAACATCTCTCTGGGATAGCAAATCCCACCAATCAAAACATATTATACATATATTTAATTCAAAAGAGGTGAATGCTTATGCATCACTCACAAGTAATATTCCACGGAGCCTGAGGTGCTAGTGAAAATAACACTGTCTTGACTAAGTTGTGACTGATGAATACAATTCGTAATATTTAAAGGAAGTCAGGAGACTTCTATTGAATATATCATCAACCACCAACCGCTGTCAAAAAACAGAGATCATTACAAATGTCACCACTTTTTGATGGTGACATAAAAATAACTATTTTAGTTTAACATCTGGTGGATGCAATTATTTTCAAGGAAATTATTTTTTAAGTTCCATCATATAGTATAGCAAACGGATAACCTGATTCAAACTATAACACATGAATCACTTTTTTGCATAAATACGTATTCACAATGTTAAATTGAAAGTACTTCAAATCTCATCAATGAGTTCTAAATCACTCTCAATAGTCAGTAAAGTAAACATACTGTAGATACACTTAATTTGACGCTACTTTTCTTTACTCAATTTCAAATATTGGCGGCTATTTAATTTGGCAGTCAGGACTCAGAGCTCAACTTTTATCATTGATATGGAAATTAAGCATTTCAGATTACTCTAAGTCTTTAATATCCAAATAGAAATACTACAATCCATCAAATTAAAACTGTAGCCAAATTAAGTGTATCTACAGTATTATATTTCTAATAAGTAAGCTATCAATATGTTCAGTACTGAACATTAGATCATAAATTAGGCTGTCTTACGTATGTTTGCATGATTCACCAAAGGTTTTCAAACAATATTTGTTTAATCCGTTGCGCTGGAGATTTCTCTATTTAACATCCTTTGCCTTGATAACATTTGAACTGGACCAGACATAGTTAGTGAGTATAGATAGGCATGTTTATTCATAGATAAATTTTGATTTTGTATAATTAGTTAAAATTAAAGAGTTAAATAGTTAAAAAGAATAGTAATAATTGAAAAAATTCACCAAATGTTAAGAGACAAAGAGTGGATTATCCTATCCTATCCTTTTCAAATTATTTCTTTAATATATACACAAAGCATCCTTGTATCAAATTATGCATTCTTATATTTTTATATGAAAATTAAATATTCTAAATCTTCATAAAAAAATTATCAACATTCAAAGAAAGATAATAAAACTTACAATACATGTCTTATTATACTCTTTTTGAACAATTTTCAACCACCCATATGTCAGAATTCATGATTAACATTATTGAGTTACAGTAAAATTTTAAATGTTTGGAACTACTTTGAATTTAAAAAATAAGCAATCAAAGGACCATGTTGAAACAGTATATGTAAAAATAGAAATATTTATACATGTCCTAACTTTTGTATATTTTAGTTTGTTTTGTAGTTTAGCTATCATATCTGTTGCCTCTTATATTTTGATGCTTCTCTGCCATGTTATTTTTGGAAAAATTAACATGGCTGAAACTCCCTAAATTCCAAAAGGTCACAGCTTTACTGCACATTATACATAAGTATCTGAAATATACAAAAGTTAGGACAAGTATATATGTTTCTATTTTTTTTTATATACTGTTGCAATATAGTCATTTGATTGCTTATCTTTTAAATTCAAAGTAGTTCCAAACATTTACTTCTGTAATTCAACTATCATTTATGGGGGGAGGCTATATGATTTTTGAATTAGATGAATATACTGTACTGTGATATCACAATAAAATTTCATATAAAAATGAATATGTCACATTGTTTTTGTTATTGTATCAAGAAAGGGATGATAGATATTTAAAACACTTGGAGGCAGTATTCATTCATTACTCTTTATATTTTCAGTTGGAGTGATGTCGAAACCAACAACAAGGAATACCCTTGAAAAGCTGATTATTGGGCTAAGTCTACTTGTTGCTATGGTGATATACATGACATTATCAAACTCGAAACATCTGAGTTCTGATCCACCACTGTTAAAGAAACATTACCAGGAAAAGGAGACTAATGAAGCCCATAGTGTATCATATACAGATCAGGTACGAGACAGTGATAACAATGGAACGACCCAGATTTCTCCAGAAGCAACAAAAACTATCCTTATGATGTATCACCCAGATAAGTTTAAACCAGAACAGATCAAAAAAATATTCAATGAATGTCCTGACGTGAAATGTGAATTTACACATGATGAGAAAGCAATAACAAAAAGTGCTGCTGTTATATTTCATTATGTCGGTAAACATGTGTATTCAATGCCAAAACGACAGCCAGGGCAACTCTGGTTGTACTACAACCTAGAAAGACCAACCTTAATGAAAGATGAACTGGCAAGATACATGACAGACAAGAGAATGTTCAATGGTACCGTAAATTACTACCCATCAAGCCTGGCTTGGTTTCCCTATGGGAAATACAATGGCACTCATATATGGACATACAACAAGATCCATAACACGTTTCTTAATACTACAGTTAACTTTGCAGCAAAGAAAAACAAACTACTGTTCTGGGCTGTAAGTAATTGTTATGCAGAAAGTAAGCGACAGGATTATGTGAAAGAACTACAAAAGTATGTTAAGGTGGATATATATGGTGGATGTGGTCCTCTTTCATGTCCTCGTTCTAGAGACTGTGACAATACAGTGTTTAAATCATACAAGTTTTACTTGGCCCTAGAGAACAAGGTCTGCCAAGATTATATCACAGAGAAGTTGTGGCTTACACTAGCTACTAGAGAAACAGTACCAATAGTTCTTGGTGGTGCAAACCATGAGAAATATCTCCCGCCAAAATCTTACATTGACATTCGTGATTTCGCTACACCAGCTGATTTAGCTAACTATTTACAGAAACTAGACAAAGATAATGACCTATATAATGAATACTTTTCCTGGAGATACAAAACATTGCCCGTCTTTGATTTTCAAAAAGCCACACCAAAACAGCCTTTACTGCACTACCTATGCCAGGTGTGTAGCTTGACTCATACAGCAAATTTGAACAAAACATTTGTGGATTTTGTAGACATAAATAATGACAAGACATACTGTTTACATGCAAATGAGTATTATAAAGGCAAATTACCAGGATATTAAGAGAGTTGAAAAATATGTGGTGGGCTGTACCAATCTACATATGAAAAAGGGAAAATTAGGGAAAATGCAAGTATATTGCAAATTCTAAATGACAATAGGACAAATCACTTACTAATCCATAATTTTGTTAATTTGGGATATGTATACATATGTCTGTAAAAACAGCATGAGCTTTCAAGAGAACACACTGATACTTTTTGATGAAATGAACCATATTTTTTATTAATGTTTGTTGTTATGATTGTATTATCACACTACCATACCCCCATACTGTAACTTGTATTTCTTTAAAAGGGATACAAGCTACAATGAAGTTGTAAATGGAGGATGTTTGTTGTTATGATTGTATTATCACACTACCATACCCCCATACTGTAACTTGTATTTCTTTAAAAGGGATACAAGCTACAATGAAGTTGTGAATGGAGGATGTTTGTTGTTATGATTGTATTATCACACTTCCATACCCCCATACTGTAACTTGTATTTCTTTAAAAGGGATACAAGCTACAATGAAGTTGTGAATGGAGGATGTTTGTTGTTATGATTGTATTATCACACTTCCATACCCCCATACTGTAACTTGTATTTCTTTAAAAGGGATACAAGCTACAATGAAGTTGTGAATGGGGGATGTTTGTTGTTATGATTGTATTATCACACTTCCATACCCCCATACTGTAACTTGTATTTCTTTAAAAGGGATACAAGCTACAATGAAGTTGTGAATGGAGGATGTTTGTTGTTATGATTGTATTATCACACTTCCATACCCCCATACTGTAACTTGTATTTCTTTAAAAGGGATACAAGCTACAATGAAGTTGTAAATGGAGGATGTTTGTTGTTATGATTTTATTATCACACTACCGTACCCCCATACTGTAACTTGTATTTCTTTAAAAGGGATACAAGCTACAATGAAGTTGTAAATGGAGGATGTTTGTTGTTATGATTTTATTATCACACTACCATACCCCCATACTGTAACTTGTATTTATTTAAAAGGGATACAAGCTACAATGAAGTTGTAAATGGAGGATGTTTGTTGTTATGATTTTATTATCACACTACCATATCCCCATACTGTAACTTGTATTTATTTAAAAGGGATACAAGCTACAATGAAGTTGTGAATGGAGGATGTTTGTTGTTATGATTGTATTATCACACTTCCATACCCCCATACTGTAACTTGTATTTATTTAAAAGGGATACAAGCTACAATGAAGTTGTGAATGGAGGATGTTTGTTTATTTCCAAAAGAGGAGTCCTGTTAGCGAGATCTTTCTAGATGAGTGCAACTTTTTTATTATCTGAATGATCATGATGAAATTTTAACACAACATCTGAGATGAGGTTAATTTTTATAATTTTGTTTAACATCATTTCTGAATTATCAAAAAACCTTTTTGTTGAAATTTTTTGGCGAAGCGATGAAATTCCATTTAGTAACTGTTACTTTTTGCTTAAATAAAATGACTTTAAGTATTTTAACAGCAAAATAACCGAAATCATTCCTATTTAATAAAGCAAAGTCTTATTTTATGTAGAGAAATCGGGTAAAAATCCATTAGAAATATATTTGAAGATGGCTTCCGAAAATGATTACATTTTTCAATATGTTTTAAGCAATCTCTTTAATAGAGTCTTGGAATATTTTACTAGTGTTATATAGTGGTCATACAAAAAATATTTTTAATAATTCAGAAATAATATTTGGATAATCAAGCATCTAAATACAAAATATTTTGTTTATATTTTAATACGAAAGTTGTTATATTTAACCACAAAGAAAGGGTTAAACCTGAAAAAACAAGTTCATTGCCTTGCAAAAAAGCTTGTACAAAAAATATTTTTAATAATTCAGAAACAATGTATTAGAATATAAAAATTCACTTTATCTCCGATATTGTTTCAACATTTCATAATGATTAATTAAATATTGAAAAAGCTGAACTCATCTAAAAAGCTCTCTCTAACGAGATAGCTCCTTTCTGAAGGTATACTTAAGTTCTACATATATTTCAAGTGTTCTACTATATATTGTATAGATTCTCTGCATTTTGCAATTTTTACTATTTCCAGTAAAGCCCTATAAACAATGATAGAGAATACCCGTTCCATTTGCAACTTTACTGTAGCCTATCACTTTTAAGGTAGTAGGGTAGAGTGATTATATCTTTAATTAGTTTAAAGTGAATAAATAAAGTTTTCAATAAAAGTGAATGTCTATTTGAATTGTGTTACATAAATTGTATTAGGTCATTGAATATTTCTCAATGTGAAAACTGGGTGCAACAAAAACTACATTTAGAACTACATGGACTTTGGAGATTGCACATAAATACAAGTGGCGATTATCATATGCAATTGTAAACAATTACTATGATTAAATTTAACCTGCTTTAATATGGCAATTAGACAATTTAAAAAGTAGGGAATTTATATCATTTGGAAAACAATTTCAACTTGCATTGCACATTGTCTATTTCGATATAAATATTATATATTGAAAGATGTCACCCTAGGCATAAGCCAAGTATGCTTACATACTTTGATTAAAATACCAATGTATAAACACAAGTACAAAAATGGTAAAGACCAGAGTCATACAAATATAACAACAATAAACAATGTCCCGAACTATGATCTACCACAAGAAGAAATTATGTTTAGAGCCTGAATGACAAACGTATTGGTCAAACACAACACAACTTTTGGGCTACAGTGTCAACAGTGAATTCAAAATGTGGTTGCCAGGGAATTATTGACAAATATAGTATTGCAAATAAAGACAATTGCAAAGTTAAAAGCTCATCTGTTTCTGTTTTTTTTATATTTTGTTAACATTAACTCACACATCTTGATCACCATATATAGAAGGTGAAAGGACAAGGTGCAATTATTGGCAAATATCCCTATGGTTAAAATGAATCATTTATAGGTGTAACATGAAGAATAAAATGTCATATAATACTTTGGAAAATATTAAAGTGCTCGGACACACATAAGCTGAGATAGGGATCATTTCGTTCAGTAAGGTTGTATTGACTTACATGGGGCTGTGCACCATTGACTTAACATGAGGATATCAGCAGATCCCAATAGAGGCCATTGGTTTCAATTGATTATCACAGAAATACCAAAAATACACTATGACCTGAATCGATTGCAAACCTAATAATTTCACAATACGACACAAATGGTTTATCTCATCAAATGTGCAAATATGAAGTTTGCAACCGATTCAGGTCATACTTAAAATTAAAAGATTGTACATTTTTTCATCATTTTTTCCCCTACAAAATGGCTATAGAAAAATGCTCCAAAAACAACTTTTACACTTATCAAATATAATACAAGTTTGTAAAACCAAAGATTATACTATTATATTTCATTGTGTAGTAACATATTTGGATAAGATGCAGGGATGCGTAGGATGTAAATGGATTTTGACAGACACAAAAATACTTCCTGGTTTGGAACCTATGCCTCTACACTTCATGGTTGAATTATGACCCTAATAAGTGGCCTATACATCAATACAGTGCTGAATATAGGTCAACAAGATACTAGTGTGCATATAAATGTAATAATTGAAGCAGAATACTCATTTTGAAAAATCAGATGAATTATCTTTTTCCCATGGGGAGATCCCAATGGCGGGTGTATAAGGTCCTTTGTAGTTTGGAGAATTTTTCCAAACAGAAGTTTTCTCAATTAATCAATGGGGAGTATGAATTAATATAACATGGGCAGTAAGATACACTCTGCTCTATCTAGGTGCCTACAACAAAATTTGCAGATATATTTATGAGAATTAACTGTCCATTCTCAACTTGGAAGAAATTAGGCAAAAATAATTGGAGACATGTCCTCAGTGTAATGTTCAAATATTATCTCCAAGTCTTTTTGCATTATTTATAGATAGTCTTCTGAAAGACTTGCAAAGTACACAGTTTGGTGTACATATTATGACTCTGTAAATATTTCAGTTTTAGCATATGCTGATGATCTGGTTTTGCTAGCAGAATCTGAAACTGACATGCAAGAACAATTAAATATTGTTAATAGATGGTGCCATAAATGGCGACTGAATGTAAATATTTCAAAAACAAAAATAATGCATTTCAGAAAAGTCAATGTTGAGAGAAGTAATTTCAAATTTAATATTGGGAATGCCTTTGTAGATTACACAGATAAATATATGTATCTCGGTATAACATTTACTCAACATGGTAAATTTGATGATATTGTGAGAACCTTATCAGATTCAGCGGGAAGAGCACTTGGGTCATTAATTAACAAATGTAAATGGAATAAGGATCTTGGATATAAAACATTCACTAAATTATTTAATGTTTGTGTTTTGCCTGTTCTCCATAACGGAGTAGGTGTTTGGGGAGTGTATCACTGTTCATCAGTTAGCAATAATGTACTAAATAGAGCCCAACAATATTTTGCAGGAGTTCATAAATTTGTACCACTTGATGCATTGCATGGTGATTTTGCTTGGACTCCCTTAGAAATTGAAAAACATTTGGAAATTATTCGAACCTTTAATAGAATAATAATGATGCCCGATAACAGAATTACAAAACAAATATTTAAATGGGATAGAATTGTAAATAGTAAATGGAGTCAAGAGCTCAAAAATTTTTTAAATAGATGTGGCTGTCAAGAAAATTTTGAGAATTTAGAGTATTGTTATATAAAAAAATGTCAAAAAGAAACTTCTAGATACATATAACAAAACTTGGAATGATTTAATTCACAAGAAACCAAAATTAAGAACATATGTAAAATTCAAATCATCATACAAAACTGAGTCATATTTATTGCTAAATTTATCTAAGTTAGAAAGATCTTTAATTGCACAATTACGCATGGGAATTTTGCCACTCGAAATTGAAACGGGTATATTTAGAAATGAAAAATTGGAAAATAGAAAATGTACTTTATGTAAATCTGGCAACATTGAGGATGAGGAACATTTTATTTTTCATTGCACATTTTATAAAGAAATAAGGGAAAAATATTTACAAAATCATCAAATTTTTGAAAAAAGAGAATCAACTGTAGAACTTAAGTTTCAGTATTTATGTGAAAAAATGCCTCGGCAAGCTGCTCATTTTGTTAAATTTTGCTATTTCAAAAGAAGAAATGAAATTTACAATATTAAATGAATTACAGGGTGTCCCGAAAGTATGGGGCCCCCTCTAGGCAGACATATTCCAGTGTCCGCATAGTATGTGTCATATATCATTTTAAAGCTTGTCCAAAGTTACATTGATTTGCCAAGTATCATGGTTTAACTCCCAAATGGGAAAAAGTTACAGTCATTTTAAAAGTTAGTGTTTTGTCAAAATAAAGTTCAATTTTACACCACATAACTAGTCAATGTGTCCCCCCTTGACCATGTTAACAGCGGCAATTATTTTAAGATATGACCTTAAAAGTCCTTTAAATAAGAGTGTGGAACTTTATAACCTTCTTAAAACAAGGGACTTTCCAACTCAATATCCATCCAATCCGAAAAGAATTGCTGCTGTTAAGATGGCCCGGGAGGACACATTGACTAGTGATTTGGTGTAAAATTGAACTTAATTTTGACCAAACACTAAATTTTTAAATGCCTGTAATTTTTTCACATTTGAGAGTTGAACCATGATACTTGGTGAATCAATGTAACTTTGGATAAGCTTTAATATGATATATGACACATACTATGACGACACTGGTATATGTCTGCCTAGGGGGGACCCCATACTTTCGGGACACCCTGTATACTTGTGTCAAAATAAAAAGATGTAATATTTATAAACAAATACCATTACTTTAGTGGTTGATAAGCCCATGTGGGCTGGTTGTTATTTTATTACTTTTCTTTTGTATTGTACTGTATTGAATGATGTAAACTAACTTTTTATATATTGAGTACCAAGGTAACTTGCTCATATTTAAATAGTGCAACTTCCTCAATACAATTATTCAATAATGAACGGCACAAAACAACTTTTCCTCCATATTCAGGGTAGTGATTCATTTTGGTCCAGGCTCTTTATATATCTATGTGCATATGGCATTTAATCATGCAGCCCTATTGAATTTGGCTCTTATTGATTTTGGATATACTATCCGAGTACCTTAAACACAAAGAACTAGGTTTTCAGACAAATGCTACCTCTACATAAATTTTGATATATCTAAATTTGTTTTATCATCCAGTTATGAACAATAGTCCTTTCTACGAGCAGCAGATTATGATGACATACAGTCATGTTTTAAGCAAAGACGAGTGGTAGCATGGTTGTTGTATTAATATATTCATCCATTACGCTTAGTAGAGTAAACCTGCCGGTCGTCTAACTTGATTGCTGATACTCCAAGTAAGTGTTTTAAAATTATATTTTATCGATTGGTAATGTAAGGACAGCTCACTAGTTTCAAATTTTCAAATATTCAGAGTTTCATCAATTTGAATTACTGTATTAATTCTATAACCATTAAACTTGGAAATCTTTACTTTATTTGATTACTTAGCCTTGCCCAAGTCGGTCTATTTTACTTATCTTGATTTCTATTATGACCGCCTTTTACCAAAGAGAAAGCCACGTGCTTTACCGACAGTTTGTTGATGTCGGTAAAATTTGACCAATCAACGACGGCCCTGTAGCGTTAGCTCATTATCATGCACGGTCAAAAACAAGCACACTTTTCACCGGGACTTTTCACGAACAAATCTTGCACGAATCTGAGCATGAATTCATCATGAAAATACAAATATTTTATCAGATAAATATCAATGACAGTTTAGTGCATGCCGGGGCATCGATCGGATAACCAAAGGTGAGAAGATTTCAACAATAAACGTTGAAATGATCGCTGAACATGTAGGCTGAGATTCAATCACCGATCGACGACAACATGACCCGCTACATTGGACTACATGTAGGTCTTCGTGCATTTTCATCGCGAAATCAGTTTTAAATCAACATTGAATCGCATGATTTAATTTATATTAATGACTCTTACCTTCCAATGTACATTTAATTACATAATATATTGTAACTCTAAAGAAACACTCGATCAGATCATTGAATTTCAAGTCGTAGATGGAAAGTTTGTTTTGTTTATGCAGCTCAACCTGATAACGTTTTGATTGGTCATTCAGCCTGAAGTCACACATCGTGTCCACGCGATATCTGTCAATCAATAAGGTTTCGCAATACCCCTGATAGCGTAGGTATTATGGAAGGTAAAATTGAAATTCTAAAGAAATAGAGTGGGTGATAATACTTACAATAGAACATGGTGAGAATGATGCATTTTGTAATTTGATGCAGCAGGAAAACACAAATCATAAATAATATATCATGTGATACTTTCAACTCCATCTTTAACTATAATATCCCCTCAAAATAGTTCGAAATGGATGAAGAAAATTTAATAGTTTAATTTGTATAGCATTTAACCAAGTAGGCCCTGTCAGGTTTCCTGCGTAAGTCAAGGTCATCAACAGAATTTCTTTTTGATATTTCTCTTTATTCTCACAACTTTTATATGACAAATAATGAACTATCATTTAACTAGAACCATAAGGTATAACAGATCAATACCTAACAGTGTCTAGTGGAAATCATAGATTATTGATGAAAGCAATGTGGAGCCTCACTGGGGATTTCTTCGATTTTCGGGGCTCCACTGGGGATTTCTTCTCAATATTATTTAGTTAGTTTCTTGGTTAATTTTAGTGGTTCTTTACCATAAATGTTTCAATAACAATCAATGTTATAATTGTAAAAATATACTATAACCTTATGCTTGGCGGCAAAAAATTGCCATACAGGAAATTTTGGGGGATTTTTGACATCTTTCATATCTGGGTGCTTGCGGTAATTTGGCGTGCATTTTAAGTTGGCGAATTAAAAAAATCATCAAATGAAAAAGTCGCCAAAATCCCTGGGAATATGACATGTTTTTTGTTAGAGGTGCACTTCCGGTTATAAGAAAAATATCAAGATGGTTGGGCCATCTAAATTCAAAGAAACAACAAGAAATATTGTAGAAATTGTTCAACAACAATACTGAATTGAGTTTGATGGGCGGATGTCTAGGATACTTAAAAAACGCCAAATTAAATAAACACCAATAGGCCCAAAAAGACAAAATCACCAAATTAAAGACAAATACAGCGTTAGAGTTGCCTGAAGGAGGTATTTAAACTTTCTAAAGAGTTTGGGCACTAATTACAGAGAATATGGTAGTTGACAATACATACTAGCAGTTAACATAATATTAAACTACCCTTGTCATTTATTCAATTCTTTTCTTACTCTTATAGACAAGACTTTATTGTATATACTGTGCATGATTATCGCAATTCTAAGTATTGTATTTTCAGTTGGAGTGATGTTGCATAGGATATCACCATGGAAACTCCAAGTAAAACTTTTCATTGGAGTCAGTATTATTGTCACCTTGGTGACATACTTGCTCTTATCTTACTTACATCAGAATATACGAAGTGCATATGTCAGAAAAAACAACAAAACAACAATTCTAATGATGTATTACCCAGAGAAAGAGTTTACACAAGAACAAATTGTTGACATGTTCAGAGAATGCCCAGATTTAAAATGTGAGTTTACACATGATGAGCGTGCAATAGCAGACAGTGCAGCTGTAATCATTCATAATGTTGAAGAACATTTGTATTCAATGCCAAAAAGACAGCCTGGACAACTTTGGTTATATTATGATCTAGAAAGTCCTGGCTTTATGATGGGTAGCGAAACTGCCACGTATCTAACTAATCAGAAAATGTTCAATGGTACTATAAACTACTCTCCATCAAGTCAAGTTTGGCTTCCATATGGAAAATATAATGGTACTCATATATGGATATACAATTCGATATATTACATGTTTTTAGATAAAAGAATTGACTTTGCAGCAAGAAAAAACAAACTATTGTTTTGGGCTGTAAGTAATTGTTACGCAAAAAGTAAGCGACAGGATTATGTGAAAGAGCTAATCAAGAATGTTAAAGTGGATATCTACGGTGGATGTGGTCCTCTAAATTGTCCTAGATCAAAAGATTGTGAAAATACTCTTTTCAAGACATACAAGTTTTATCTGGCATTTGAGAATTATGTCTGTCAGGATTACATAACAGAGAAGTTGTGGCTTACCCTAGCTACTAGAGAAACCGTACCAATAGTTATTGGTGGTGCAAACCATGAGAAATATCTTCCGCCAAAATCTTACATTGACATTCGTGATTTCGCTACACCAGCTGATTTAGCTAACTATTTACAGAAACTAGACAAAAATGATGACCTATATAATGAATACTTTTCATGGAGATACAAAATATCACCCGTCTTTGATTTTCAAAAAGCCACACCAAAACAGCCTTTGGAGTATTATGTTTGCCAGGTGTGTAGGCTGATTCATACACCAAATCTGAACAGGACTTACGTAGATTTTGTAGACTTCAATAATGACAAGAGATATTGTAGAAATCCATCTGAATACTATAAAGGATTATTGCCAGGATATTAATATAATGGAAACACACTACTAATATATAAAACTATGTGTGCATTTTAGACAAAAGTAGGTCTCTAGGCGAGAGTACTATATTCTAGTATATCCTAGCCAAATCAGACAAGCAATGCGAGAAATAGGAGCAGTTTCAGAATCATGCTCCAGGTGGCTCTGGAAACAAAGACGTTTATGTATTATGATCATCACATGAAATGCTCTTTGGCTACAGTATCTGGAACCAGTCAGAAGTCAGTCTCAAGCCTGACGAAAGAGACAGCCAAGCTCACATAACCGAAACCTCCATCCCACTTCATCGAATCATGAACAGTCTTATAGATGTAGCAAAGCACTCAATGCTTATACAAAATGAAAAAAATCCAAATCATCATGATTTCTTTATATCAGTTAAATTTTCGATAACTTAAAAATGTCGATCAAAATCTTGACTCTCCCCTCTTATTGGTAGGCATTTGGTGGTATCATAAAATAGTCATGCAACTACTTGTAAATTGTTATCAAATTTCATAACTTTAAGTTTCAAAGGTGTCCCAATCAAATTGGCTAATATAGTTCAACAGTATATGAGATAAATGGACATTCAGTCCATAACCAAAATGTGTTCCATCAAAGCTGAATGTATGGCTAGTTAATGCACTTGTGTTAAACATTGGAATGTTGTAACGTGCCAAGAATTGTCTCATTTTGTCTGAGTAAATCTTTACGTCCTCTGTCCCTTGGTGATTGGTCAAATAGCGGGCCCGTTTCATAAGCCCAGGATAATGAGGTGTCATAAACAGCATCCTAGGTCTTGAATGGTTTGTAAAGGACCGATGTTGAAAGATCCCATGGCCCAAATCAGTAATATATTTTTGCAATGCCACTTTTGTTGGCTCGAAATTCAACCCATTATGAAGGCCTGTTGAAAAGAGGATCACTTGGTTTTTCTGCTCTCTTATAAAGGCAACAGACTTTTGTAATAAACCTAATGAGTAGTCTTCTCTCAATGTTAGTTGAACTTTTGAATTACAAATCGTTCTAGTTCTGTCATTTAGCTTCCGGCAGTACTTTTCATCAAATTGTAAGTGATATCCACATTTCTCTCTGTCATCTGAAAGAATGAAGTGACGAAAGCAAGAATCAGAGGGGTAAAAGGGTGGGTAATACAATCACCATTCAGGACATTTTAACAACTTTATTATTCTCTGTTCCAAAATAAACTCTCCATAGTGAGCAAATTGTTTTTCTATGTAATTGACCTTTTGCGATCAGAATTCAGGAATTTTGTTTATGGATACTGTTGTCACGTATTTCATCTTATTGGTATGACGTCATATAGAAATGATATTAGACATGATGGAATCACGAAATGGCGGACACGTGGCAGTTTTGAGCTAAAAATATTGTCGTTTCTTATATAAAAACCATGAGTCGGATATTTACCAGGTATGCCGATTTGACTAGATCATGAGTATGTCTATATATATGCGAAGTTTGGGTGAAATTCATACTAAACATCGATGCCTATAAGCGCCCCCGTTTTTGTCAAAATCGGGGGGCGCTAAACCGCTATCTAAATCATGTCAGTAAGACCTTAGACTTGGTATGTGCTTAGCATGAATGTTGATCTAGTCAAATAGAACGCTTTCGTGAAAAATAAATCAATAAAGCACGAAATATAGAAGATAATCTCTCAAAATCAAGCATCTAAAGCTGGGTGACCTAATTGTGACGTCACTAAAAGACAGAATCCATTCGGTGATCGCAAATCATCAATTCTCCGAAAACAACAACAATAACAAAATTACTGCTCAAACCATGGGGTCATTATATTAACAGAGATTTCGTGGCTATTATATTTCGCTAATTTTCAATTTTTGAAATTTCGCGGTTATTAATCTCCACGGATTTGTCATACAAGATCACTCTTTTGACTTTGATATCAGCCAATGGTTGTTCCTTTGCCCGATGATTTTGGCTTCTTATTAAGCCATTTCGTTAGAATGTTCGTTTAATACAGTAATAACGATCTTTCTTCTAATTTCTCTTTTTCAAAACTCAAAATGTAACCTTTTTACCTATTATCGCCCAGCACTGGATGGAAATATTGTCAACATTGAAATCCCCAGGGATTTCCTTGGAATTTTGTGACTATCAAATTTCGCAAATTATGACTGTATTATATTTCCGAATTTTCCAAAACTTGTGAAAACAAAATAAAATAGCGCACAAAAATTACCAGGAGTACAGTTACAAAAATACCTGGTTTTGTGTTTTGTTTCATCGCTCCATCTTTCATATGTCCACTGAGAAGTATCAGGAGTGCCCCAAAGAAATGCCTCACTAGGGAATCCCCCACTAGGATAATATGCTTCACATTCTTTTGAGCCAACATGTCACAGGCTAAAGTTGGATCATAATATGTCAATGGACATTGGTTTGAGAGTGGCTGCCAGTTGTGCTTCTCTGCGTGCAGTCTCTGTCTAAGGTCTAAACATTCCCCACACTGACACTGTTTAACTGTCATATTTTGACAGTGATTCTTAAAACAACATGCTTTCAGCGATGTTGGGTAGCAAAGTGCACGTCGTGGTACAGTAGCAGTTTCAACATTGGTGTCACTATTTCCACATTGACCATTTTGTAACGTCAATGCAGCTTCACTTGGCATAAAAGTCATTTTTTCCATTTCTCCATTATATTCATCTTGTTTAACCCATACACCATTTGACAAACAATCAATATATTCCTGCTCTGTAAAAACAATGTCTGGCTCTATAACTTTCATTATTCTTCCCCTCATCTGGAAGCTATAGCCTTTATATATAATAAAACAGAAAATAAAAGCTACCAAAATAGACAGGTAGTAGAACGTATGTTTCATCTCAGCAGCGTTAAAAATAGGTTTGTCCTTAAAGTCCCCGATAAATCGGGCTACGTATACCGCCGTGTTTACATTAGGGGATTAGAAGAGTTTATTTTTTATTTAGGTATGCAAGCTACATATATCAATATTAGGCCTTCATTCATGTACTCGTGTGCATGTAATCAGCATGCCCTTCAATATTATGTAAACCAGGCTATTCAAGTACTGTATAATGTACACTATTTATGTGTGTACTACATACAATACAATTCCCTGGGAAACAAAACACAAATACTTTTTATATGTTCAAAATGAGCCATTTGATTGATGCAAACACTAAATAGCTTCATAAATAACATCTACAAATTATATCTAATAGTAATTTTCAATTCCAATGGTGAAACTTCCCTGGTTACGATTATATGGGAAATCATCACGAGACGAAGATCGTTCGCCTTCCTGGCTTACCTCTGAATCGTGTACCCGGTAATCTCTTTATATAGTTTAGCGAGAGCGGTGCGCCTGCGCAGTTTTAAACTTTGGCGCAAACTTTAAGTCCTTTTTATTGTTTGACTTTCTTAACTTACTCTACCTGATCAACTCATGCCAATTGACATATTATATTGAATATTGTCAACAGCAAAATCATGTATGAGGCCATATATTTAAAAATCAAAGTACCTTATAAATATAAAATAAGGCGAAGCACAACCCATTTCATTACTGGTAGTGTTAAAAGAGCAGAATATTGATTACCAAGCACTCTATGCATATGCCTACAGTGACGCTACATGAGGTAGAATACAAATCTATATTGATTGAGTCAGGACAATGGAAGCTAATCTGACAGAGGTCTCATTCCCAGTAATAAGTATTAATGGTTTGTTTATATACGAGGGGTGATCATGAAGTTATATATCTATAATTTTAATATTATATAATATAATTTTTTAATATATTCTAATGAAATTTTCACAGAATGTGCAGCACAGAATGTTGTTTTAATCCAGCAAAAAATATTTAATATAATAGAAATATTAGATAAATGGCTCAAGATGAAGCTCAAATCCTTGATTGATTCAAAGGAAAAGCATGAGTGATATTGAAGTGGAAACCATGGTACTTCATGACAAATCTACTAAAATATACAAAACACACCCAGTGATCAGAAAAATGGGAGAGAAGAGGGAGGGGGGAGTAGGCGATTTCTGCAAGAAATTCAACAAATCTGGAAGATTTATTCCTAACCTAGTTGATCCAATAGGCTTACTGTGTGAGCCAAAAAGGGTCAGAAGGTTCGGGCGGGTCACAAACAACTTCTTACCAATATCAGGTCGAGTCAGGTATATGTTTTAACTTTTCTTCCTTGTATTTGCCTTTAGCCAAGATTTTAAAAAGCAGTGAGTTTATTATTTTTAACATAGTGTCAGAAAGAATAAAACTCTGTGATGCTAGCAGGGCTTTTACCAGTATAACTCTACCATACCAGGCCCGTAGCCAGGATTTGCCAAGGGGGGGGGGGTTCAGTTTTCAAAAATTTCCAGGGGGGGTTCACATTTGACAATTTTTGCCCAAATATGGCTAAAATCACTTGAGAAGTGCTCAAAATGGTGAACAACTGCATGATTTTGAAAGAATTTTTGGCCAGAGGGGGGTTCGCCCGAACCCTGCGAACCCCCCCTGGCTATGGGCCTGCATTCATTGTTAAGTTTCTCATATTTTCTCACATTTTTAATATGTGTTCACACCTAGCAAACCATGGTTTTTAATTCTTTCTTATATCTGTAACAGTTTGAGTAGTACTATACAAAAATACCTAAAATTTTAACATTGTTATTTTGAAATAATTTCCATTTTACATTTCCAATTGTGTAATTGTTGAACTTCCATTTACCTAGCCATAGTGCCTCAGTCTTATCTTTAAACCTGATATTAGCAAAAATTGATCAACAAGATTCAAGATTCAAGACAATCTTGAATGAGTTAATATCTCTTACAAAAATGGTGGTGTCATCTGCATATTGCAGAATTTTGATCTCATCATTTGGCAGGCTAACCCCAACAATGTTTTTATCATGCATTACTTTACAAGAAAAAAGCTGGGGGGGGGGGGGTAGGAGCAAGGGGGGGGGGTGCAGTGTAACAATGACCTATTCCTCTAATCATCAGTAGTAGTAAGAGGAAAAAACATCATATTGTCCATTCAGAGTGATGCTTCAATTTCTTTCCATTTGTGGCCCAAAATAAAATTGCCATTTACACATACCTCAAACAAACAATAGCTCACCAATGTGAGCCAATTATAACCAGACATTAAGATATGATACCTCCAATCTTACTCTCCTTTGAATTACAGCATCTCTGGATACCTACTAAGGAGGATGCAAACAAAACAATAGCTCACCATGTGAGCTAAATATAACCAGACATTAAGATATGATACCTCCAATCTTACTCTCATTTGAATAACAGCATCTCTCAAATACTACCCTGACCAAACTTGCTAAAATATAGCCTCTGACTATGAGCAAAATATATGGTTAAAATATTGAGTGGCGTAAATCACCTCCATCACCAATGTGGTGGCCATAAATCATCCATACCTATAATGCTGACTTGATTATATAGCTGACATGTTTATAACCAATCAAAAAGTAGAATAAAAGGCATGTGATAATACCCTGAACAATGAAATTGTCAGAAATGGCAGTATTTGAATGCTTTCAGAGAATCATTTTGTGTAGTAACAGCCGCAGGTTGCCTTGGTGCATTCAGAATTCGATGCTACAGTATTTTAAAAGAATCATATTTGTGTAGTAACAGCCGCAGATTGCTTGGTGCATTCAGAATTCGATGCTACAGTATTTTAAGAGAATCATATTTGTGGAGTAACAGCCGCAGATTGCTTGGTGCATTCAGAATTCGATGCTACAGTATTTTAAAAGAATCATATTTGTGTAATAACAGCTGCAGGTTGCCTTGGTGCATTCAGAATTCGATGCTACAGTATTTTAAGAGAATCATATTTGTGGAGTAACAGCCGCAGATTGCTTGGTGCATTCAGAATTCGATGCTACAGTATTTTAAAAGAATCATATTTGTGTAATAACAGCTGCAGGTTGCCTTGGTGCATTCAGAATTCGATGCTACAGGATTTTAAGAGAATCATATTTGTGGAGTAACAGCCGCAGATTGCTTGGTGCATTCAGAATTCGATGCTACAGTATTTTAAGAGAATCATATTTGTGGAGTAACAGCCGCAGATTGCTTGGTGCATTCAGAATTCGATGCTACAGTATTTTAAAAGAATCATATTTGTGTAATAACAGCTGCAGGTTGCCTTGGTGCATTCAGAATTCGATGCTACAGTATTTTAAGAGAATCATATTTGTGGAGTAACAGCCGCAGATTGCTTGGTGCATTCAGAATTCGATGCTACAGTATTTTAAAAGAATCATATTTGTGGAGTAACAGCCGCAGATTGCTTGGTGCATTCAGAATTCGATGCTACAGTATTTTAAAAGAATCATATTTGTGTAATAACAGCTGCAGGTTGCCTTGGTGCATTCAGAATTCGATGCTACAGGATTTTAAGAGAATCATATTTGTGTAGTAACAGCCACAGATTGCTTGATGCATTCAGAATTCGATGCTACAGTATTCTAAGAGAATCATATTTGTGTAATAACAGCCGCAGGTTGCCTTGGTGCATTCAGAATCTCATACTACACTATTTCAAGAGTTCAAGGTTACCAGCTAAGTTTTTACGATGCAAAACAAAATAAGGATAAATCATAAATTGTTTGAATATGGCAAAGTTAAGATTTTAATTTTCATCATTCTGGAGTGCAAAGTTCAAACAATTTTTAGTGTTTAAATGTTTTTTTATGAGAAATGGGTACACCTACCTTTAAATTTGGGTGCTTTCTGGTAAGTATTTGTTTGGTATAGTAGCTGTTAATGCCCAGGGCCACCTCCATTTATAGTGTTTAAATTAGTTTTATGAGTAATGGGTACACCTACCTTTATATTTGGGTGCTTTCTGGTAAGTATTTGTTTGGTATAGTAGCTGTTGATGCCCAGAGCCACCTCCATCTCTTTATAGAGTAGGATGAAGATCTTTACTCCCTGCTCCTGGAGATATACATAATACATCACATTTAGTGAAGGTCAATCACCTTGGTGATATACATGCACATAATACATCACATGTAGAGAATGTCAATAACCTCTATGATATTTACATCACATGTAGAGGAACCATTCACCTTGGTGATATGCATGTACATAATAATACATGTACATAATACATCACATGTAGAGAAAGTCAATCACCTTGGTGATAATGCATGTACATAATACATCACATTTAGTGAAGGTCAATCACCTTGGTGATATACATGCACATAATACATCACATGTAGAGAAAGTCAATAACCTCTATGATATTTACATCACATGTAGAGGAACCATTCACCTTGGTGATATGTATGTACATAATAATACATGTACATAATACATCACATGTAGAGAAAGTCAATCACCTTGGTGATATGCATAATACATCACATGTAGAGAAAGTCAATAACCTCTATGATATTTACATCACATGTAGAGGAACCATTCACCTTGGTGATATGCATGTACATAATAATACATGTACATAATACATCACATGTAGAGAAACAAATCACCTTGGTGATATAAATCATAAGTCACATATTGTGAATCCAATTATTTTTGGTGATACATAGAATACATCATATGTAGTGAAGCCAATCACCTTGGAGATATACATTAAATAGAGAGCATGGATAAGCATATATTGTGATACTTACAGCTTTTCTCCTGAGTAGTTCATCCAGGCGCCATCTATCTCCTTCTGTCATTGGCCGCTTCATATACACCTGAGGGCTCAACCTTCAACAGAAATAAGCATTTAGAAAACTCTGTCACATTCCAATGTGGTCAATGTAGTTCCTAAACTAGCAGGATGTTGTGACTTGTTTGAGAACTACAACTAGTTCAGTAATTTTATTTCAGAGCCTTTCAAAAGAACCCTGTCAAAAATAGAAGATTTCAGAAATCGAGCAGAATGACACTGAAGGCAATGTTCCATGATTCCAAACTAGAAGCATTTGAATAATTGAATGTACTCAAAGAGGATTTCAATAAATTTGATGCATTCTGTCATTTTAACATCTCTCTAGCATTAAATAATAAAAAAATAGAACCCCCTTGCAAGATGAAGGTGAAACGAACTGTCATCTAAGTTTGAGGTGCTTGTACGGTAGAATTTGAATGTTATGTTTTATGGGATTTGTAAGTGATCTCAACAGCAGTGCATCCATTACTGACAATTTGTAGACAAATGCAGCCATCTGAGAAACTGTTGTAACCATTTCAAACTAAGAAAATTCCTGTAAACTTTAATCAATTTCGGTCAAAATTGAAAAAATAATATCCTGAAAATGCACAGTGATTTTCAAATATAGTGTATCTTACCCATTTAGAATGGAAAAGAATAAACTTTCTTCTATTTTCACAACAGACATATATACTCAATATCTCTAGTCATTTACCAGGCAAAAATATCTTTTCAATGGGACAGCCATTACTTTATTTTACATTCACTTGACCTTCTGTCATATGGTAGTATTTGTTAAGTGCTATTAAGGAAGGCAGGCCCGTAGCCAGGATTTGCCAAGGGGGGTTCAGTTTTCAAAAATTTCTGGGGGGTTCACCTTTGACAATTTTGGCCTAAATATGGCTAAAATCACTTGAGAAGTGCTCAGAATGGTGAAAAACTGCATGATTTTGAAAGAATTTCTGGCCAGGGGGGAGGACCCCTGGCTATGAGCCTGGAAGGATATATTCTTCTCACCACCAATCAGTTATAAAGACCTCCTCTCTGGCCATCTCTATTGCTTCTGCAGCTGCTTCAAAATAGGTGGCGCCATCAACAAACCTTGAATAAAAAAATCGAATAAAATGTTTCTGATAAATCATGCCATCTTTTGATCTATCATGAAAATTATAATACATTGGCTAGATTGATGATGTCATTTGCTGTAGGTTAAGCAATCAATTCATGCAAAAATAATGTTCACATTGCTAATTTTGAAAAAGCACAACCAATGACATCATTAACCTAGCCGATATATTGTGGTTTTTCTGATGTATCATGTAATCGCATGATTCATTGGAAACATGTTTTGAATATGAAATATTGATAAGGGGATTAAGCTCATCTAATTATAATTTCTATAACATTCCCGAGAAAAAGTAATTCCCTGGATTATAGATACAAAAATGTTAAAAGGTCTTTAATGTGTTTTTACCTTTTCTATCACAGGTTTAAAAGTGAAAACTATGTCATTTCCTCCAAATAGTCAATGATTTATCAGATAAATGTTTAAATTGATGCAATTTAATTTGGTCTTAGTATATTGACTCTTTGATATTGCTCAAATCGGCCTATATCTAAGTATATATTATTTAAAAAATGTTCAAGCCATTTTTTATAATAGGCAGCAAATGAGTTTACCATTGAGCATATGAGTCCTCTCGCACAGGAGCAAATGAGTCATGTCTGTTTGGAGTCGTGAAGTCTCTGCCAGTTGATCGTGCTGCAAACTGGATACAGTCCACCCATTCTGCTGCACGCTGTCTTGTGCCAGTCTTTAGCAGTAACTGCCTGTGAAATAGAGGTACTTAATTTTTATTCAAAAAACATATGAACAATTAATACAATAATGTAGGTTACCAACATAAAAAGTACATTAAAACATAATAACAGATTTTTTTATCATATCAAAATCTATGAATTGTGTAAACAAAACACAATTGAAGAACAAAAGGTGTCCAAGCTGTCTGAAATAAACTATTCTAAAACATGTTCTTTAGGTTGGATTATCAATTATCACAAAAATATTTTTTCTTCTTTTCACAACCTTTATTTTACTCAACAGGACGTTTCGGATCCTGTCTGGATCCTTTCTTATGACGTAATATTGTTTTTATTTAATTGTTTTGTAGCGCTTCAGTTCAGCTTTTATACAGTTGAAAAAGGATCCAGACAGGATCCGAAACGTCCTGTTAAGTAAAATAAAGATTGTGAAAAGAAGAAAAATATTTTTGTGATGAAATAAACTAGTCTTAAAACAACTGGTTTTTCTTTTAAATTTCTATTTTTCATAATAAATTATCTTTAAGTAAAAAAATTGTTTTTTTGTTTGCTTGTTTGTTTAATTGTTTGTTGACAGATACACAACAACTGACGGACAATGTGAGTACTGTAATATAACACTGGCTGGAATATAGTTCTGTAATATAACACTATCAGTTATCACACGTTTCAGCATGTGATACAGGAAATATTCCACGAAAGGTAATACTGTATCATCCACGAAAGCGAAGCTTGAGTGGTGATACATTGTTACCCGAGTGGAATATTTCCTGTATCACATAAGCTGAAACGTGTGATGACGATTTTATCACATGTCTAGGAATTTTGAAGCATTTTGATTTGGTCAGTTATGATTGTGTTCAGTACCCTGTGTACTTCTTGATTTCGCTTTGAAACAATGTGACGTCATATCGTTGTATTCGTACTTGTTTGTGAAATAGTATGACGTCATATTGTTTTCCTTAGCTAGAAGTGATATAATCAGTGACGTCACATCGTTGCTATTGATCATCACTGGTTGCCTCTAGTAACATGTGAGACGGCCGTGTGAGACGGGAAAACTCACACGGTAATCAACCAATCAGATTACTGGAATTTTACAGAGCATGTGATAATGGGTGGAATATACTGCATGGTATTAAAGGCCCCATATAAAGTTTTAACCACCTTGACCTATATCTTAGTCCTACCTTACTTTACATGGGGCCCTTTAGCGTGCTGCCGGCGGACTCGTCCGCCGAGACTAAAATGTCTCTCACAACTGCCGGCGGACCCGTACGCCCGATTTCAAACTTTTAAAAACTTTACTTTTTCGCGCCATTCGTATTGTCCAATTAGATTGCCCGATTTATTCAGTGCCTAACATGACTTCCTGTTGACCTAGAAATGGCGATATTTCGAAAAATAATTCTCAATTCAACAATTTAAACAGTGTTTTAGTCGTTTTTAGTGAACGAATCGTACAAAATGGTGGACAAATACGATCACAACGAAAATGTGGAGGAAATGAATTACGATTTCGAGCTCTTTAGGCTCTTGGAAGCCGATAACGGTCATCGAAAATAGAAACTAGAATATTTTCTGAATTGAAAAATTGAACATTCGATCGCTGCAAATTCAGATTTGGATTCTGACCAGACGAAGAGGCGGAGCGGCGGATTCCGGAGGAGTATTCATGGTATATTTATGCCCAGTCGTGTTAATGTACGAAAAAATTCATGAGAACATTTTTTTCATGAGCCAGGCCACTGTATCTTCCCTTTGTGAAAATTTTATCCAGATTCATTCAGTAGTTATTGAGATATTAATTATTATATCATTTTTTGCACTCTTTGAAAAATAAGCCAGTTGCGTGGGATATATTTGCTGAAATAAGGCAGCATGGTAAAGGTTAAAACAGTTGCATGATGATTTATAGGTTTTATTCATTATACATGTATAAGTGAATATGTATTGGAATATGGTACATATAAATATATTGTCAGGAGGACAGCACTCATTTATTTATATTCTTGGCACAAATACTTGGCTGTATTCATATCACAATTAACAGTAGCACTGCTTCAACAGTAGGTACTTGTTCCTCACCTTCTGTGTAGTTGGAATTGTAACCATATTATAGTGAATGTTTCTCATTAAGTATGATGTGTATGATATGTAGGACTTGTTCTAGACATCTTACAGAATCTCATCCATATTGTATTACAAAAGAGGTTGGTGTATGCATTGTAATTCTTAGCAGATGGTGTGTTATCTTTTTTGAAAACCTACAGAAGTGGAAAGTACCTCTTGCAAATTTTGGCAGCTAACAAAAAGGCTAGTGTCTCGAGTTACACAGAATCTATTTACTTCAGAAAGAATAGTTTGAATAATTTAGAAGGGTAGAAGGGGAAAATAATGGCGGGAAATATTAGGTAAAATAAGAGGCCTTTTACTCGTACATTTATGAGATAAAAAGTCTAGTCAATGTAGTACACTTGAATATCTGGGTATAAAAAATCACCTCTTATTTTAAAGGAATCTGCAACTTCACGTAAAAATTCAAACGAATTTGCCAGTTACTTTTCATTTGTTTGTCAGTTGTCAGAAATTCTAGAGAAGACCACAGGATATAAAAGTAACAATTAACCGAAATAGATTTCAGTCATAAATTACGACAATCAAGAAATTCTTTAGGGCCCAAAAACATTTTTTGGCCCAAAAAGATTTGTATAGCCTCGAAAAATGGGCCTTTTTGGGCATAACTTGATCTTTTGGGCCTTTTTAGCTCAAATTATCAAAAAAATGGGCCATGGATTTTTCAAAATTTGGGCCTAATTTAGATTCCAAATTACAAAAAAAACGTTTCCAGAGTTCTCTCCTACATGGTTTTCACTTGTCTGATAGAAGAAAAACTGAGATAATTAGGTCTCTGGAAAAACAATAGAGGGAGACACTTATCCCTGAGGTCATAAAACTATATGTACAAATTCTCTTAAAAATGTGTAGCTTAGCCTGTTTAATGATTACTGGGTGTCATTTTATAACACATTCCAGATGTGTAGAATAACATGCCTCCTGATATTAAAATGGAACACATACCTCTTGAATATTGCTCACCATGCCAACCAAAATTGAGAAATCTCCATGGATCTACCAGGTTGGGGATAAAGTATACCTTCCTAATTCCAGAATTCTATTTGACCCTTGTCTAAGGAATTTTGTTAAAAACCCACCTCCAACTATTGCTTTTAGGAACCTTTAAGTCCATTAAAGCTATATTGGAGAATATTATAAGCATTAAAAACTGTTATATGATCTGCAATCATAAATTATAGTCAGAGGATAGTATAACCACTTGATCAGGGAAGAGAACAGGGTAGATGATTATCACACAGAAGTATCAGATTTGAGTCTATTTATAGGATAAGAGTCTACATAGCCAGTCTGTAATGCATTTCAAACAGTTGGTGTTTAACCATAAACATTATACAGCAACTGCATGCAGTGTGCAAATAAGAATACATGTGCTAGTTATAGAAACATCCAAAAATACAAGGAGAAAAATCCACAATCTGCAGTTTTATAATAGAAGAGGACTAGAAAAGTTTAGATAATGGTTTATCATAATGAGTGCCACCAGATGTGGAGAGAATTGTAATACAAAAGGGGAGCTTTGTTCAATATGTCATGTTCTTTTGGATTTAGATTTCTTGATTGAATTTCCTTTTTCAAAGTGTTCTGACAATTCATTTGTTTTATCAAGTACACTAAACATTACAGGGACTGATAATCAGAATGGATTAAGTAAACCTGAGACAAATTCACAAAATGGATCAAGCAAACCAGAGACATATTCACAAAATGGATTGAGCAAACCTGAGACATATTCACAAAATGGATCAAGCAAACCAGAGACATATTCACAAAATGGATTGAGCAAACCAGAGACATATTCACAAAATGGATTGAGCAAACCTGAGACAAACTCACAAAATGGATTAAGTAAACCTGAGACAAATTCACAAAATGGATCAAGCAAACCAGAGACATATTCACAAAATGGATCAAGCAAACCAGATTTATATTCACAAAATGGATTGAGAAAACCAGAGACAAACTCACAAAATGGATTAAGCAAACCTGAGACATATTCACAAAATGGATCAAGCAAACCAGAGACATGTTCGCAAAATGGATTAAGCAAACCTAAGACATATTCACCAAATGGATTAAGTAAACCTGAGACATATTCACAAAATGGATCAAGCAAACCAGAGACATATTCACAAAATGGATTAAGTAAACCTGAGACATATTCACAAAATGGATTAAGCAAACCTGAGACATATTCACAAAATGGATTAAGCAAACCTGAGACATATTCACAAAACAGATTAAGTAAACCTGAGACATATTCACAAGATGGATTGAGCACACCAGAGACATATTCACAAGACGGATTGAGCAAACCTGAGATAAACTCACAAAATAGATTAAGCAAACTAGGGACATATTCACGAGATGAATTGAGCAAACCAGATTTATATTCACAAAATGGATTGAGAAAACTAGAGACAAAATCACAAAATGGACCAAGCAAACCAGAGACATATTCACAAAATGGATTGAGCAAACCAGAGACATATTCACAAGATGGATTGAGCAAAACTGAAGCAAGTTCACAAAATGGATTAAACAAACCTGGAACATATCCGCCAAATGGATTAAGGAAACCAAAGACATATTTCAAAATAGCACATGAAGGAACACATGTATACAAACCTAAACCTTGTGAAAAATGTTTTACATACCCAAACTGGTTAATGATTGATGAATACGATCGACGTACTGGCGAAAAACCATGGAAAAGATATTTTTGTGAAAAATGTTACATACCCAAAAATTATCTATTAAAACAACATGAAAAAACACATAACAGTAAAAAACAACTAAAATTTATAAAGAAAACGAAAAAACTAAAATTTGTAAATCATTGTGAAAAATGTATTACTGACAAAAATACAAAAAACAACCACGGTAAACAACTACGCAAATGTATACACCGTTAAGCTTTGTATTTAGTAAAAGGTTTGAGTAATATGTAAGCGGAATTAAGTGCCAAAGTTTTATCAATAAAACATGAGAACTTAAACACTCAACAAGAATGTGTGATATTATTCATGAAAATGTGACAATAAATGAAAAGTTATCATGTTTTAATTTCAATGATTTTGGCAGAGTTGAAGTGCATCCTTTCTTGATAGTTCTGCGGGAGATACACTAGACTGCAAAAATAATCGAAAGACGAACAGGTCTTGCCCTCATCCCTCCAATTCCTTACAGAAAAACGTACCTGGAGTGATTGGACACCTTCAGACCACGATGTGTTCCAGTATCCATCTTCCCAGAGGTCACTTTGAAGTCTTTGTCCATCAGCATGACGTCACGAATGCGGCCATTTTGGTCGTGGAGATAGGCGATAAAAGTGTCCTTCACAACAAGCCACCTGAATTCAGGGAACAAGGAACCAATATAAAATAACCTTATCTATGTGAGGAATCAAATGGTAGCCATATTTCTAAATGTAAAATAGAACGGAAAGGGAAAATTTGAGCAAGGATTAACATGAACGGCTGTGTCAAACAAAATCCAGATCACAATATCGAAATGTGATATTTCATTCTTTTTATTGAAATGAACAGAGCTTGTTTGAGTCCAACAACTTGAAAAGTACATAGTACATAAGTCAGTAACACCAATAAAAAAAGATGTCACTATTTTATATTGTCATTTGTATACTTCTATAATGTAAAGTGACAAAAGAAATATGGGTATGGATACGAAACATTCACAATTTTAGTACATTTATATGAAGTTAGAAATATTAATATTACTATGTTTAAAGAAACACATATATTTTGTATTACAATAAAAAATTTTGTGAAAAACAATATGTACAACAACATGTATTATGATGTATATTGAAATACACTTATTTGACAAGAAAATTTGTGACATAATTGTTAATTTATTAACTTCTTGATTACTATTAATAGAGAAGTTAAGCTACATGATTTTAAGAGAACTTGGACTGAATGTGTAAAATTATGGCCTTTTACGAATTAGTTTTCCCCTTCTGCCTGATTGTGCATAACATTTAAAGGTAGAAGATGTTTGTTGTTGTTCAACAGGCCCTGTAAGGTGGAAACAATTAGAGGTGTAACTTGCCAGAAAAATCCAACTCGAGTTCAACTTGCCAAATATTTCCAAAACACAAGTAAAACTCGAGTTCATTCATTTTGTCCAGTACATAATGTAAACCCGGGTATACAAAATTACTGTAACTTCAAGCGCCAAGTTTCTCTGGTTTAGTCACATCTAAAAGGTGTTTAACACGTTGGGGCCATATAAGAAAGTGTGGTATTCATTGCAGTTATCTCATATTTCAATCAAAAACGATCTGGTATAGATGTTGCCGCATACGGTACGGACGAGAGATCGCTAGAATCTAACCAAACAATATTTTAGAAAACCCAGAAGGGCCCCTCAAATTAATATATGGTTTTCCCGGATTGTCTTCATTATTTATACTAAAGACTGCTGGTTATCGATCTAAAGTTAAGACTTACGATCTTAATTTAATGATAGATCATCTTTTTTATATAAAAGTCGTGTAAACGACGTGAGAATAAGGGGACCATTTCTATTCAATTTTAGTGACTACTCTATTATCGCCCGTCAAGTTTTTTCGATAGTCGATCTTTTTCTGATTTTTTTGGTGTAACTCGTCATTCCATGTTATTTGTTGAACTTTGTGAAGCTTTGAGAGTATTTTTTAGGCGATGGGCGCTAAATATGGCGATCATTGGTATATTTATTCCACTAATGAAGTAATGTTGCACGATCTCTGGGACCCAAATTCATTTTACATGCTTGCAAGATAGGCGAAACTCGTGAGTTGACTCGAGTTATAGCTAGCTCGCGATTTGAAATAGATTGCGAGTTTCTAGAGAACAACTCGAGCCAATGTATAGGCAGCTCTGACGAGCTGTACTCGAGTTATTGACTCGGGAGTTACACCTCTACATAGTTCATGTACAAGATATTTAAACTACAGTCCTAGTGAAATGAAACACTTACCTCTTGCTCCATCTTTCAGAGACTGTAAAGGTAAGTTTAGCGCAACAAGTGAAGCATTTGCAGCATCCAAGGTTGACATGACGACCTCCTGTACGTTTTAAAACAAAGCCTTCTTGTCGCTTTATGCCGAGATGCTGCACGAAAGACAAGTGGCTCACTTCCAAAAAATGGAGCTGGAAAACAAGTTTTCAAAACTTCGAATTTGATTTCTTTCTTAACATTGCAGTGTTCTGCTAATGGTCCTTTTCAAGTAGGTGCTATTATTATCTTCCTTTTTTGAAGTTGCAAAATATGTGCATTTTTCTTCATTTTCAAGGGAAGTCCTCCAAGTGTCTAGAGGCTTGTTATTGTAGTTATAATGTATATTGTACAAAAACTTAGAAATAAACTGAATTGAAACACTAAATGCATAAACTGCAGGTTTACTGAATGCTTTCATGATAATATTTATGGTTTTGACCTGTGATTCTCTAAATCTCTAAGTTGGTACAGCACCTCAACCCCAAACCTCCCTTAACGCTAACTTCTCATTCTATTTAAAACACTGAATGAATCTGTCCATCATTGTGCTTCTAATTCTCGGAGCTCAAATTTTTTCAAAATTTTCAAAAATGTAAATCATATATATCTTGTTTATCAAATCAATTAAACATTAGATTTAAGTCACTATATAACTGACATTGACTAACTCAACCGGCATAAGGGTTGTTCAAAATATAATAAGAAAGCAATAAATTACTGTTTCTATGTGGTTCCTGTACATTGGGGTTCTCAGCATGTTTTGTAAGTAAAGCTCCAATTGTCTCTGGAAGGCAAAAAAATATTTTAAATATTCTCAGGGAATATTTTTTTATCTCCTATGTTTATAACAATATTTATACAAGGCATTGACATGCAAATGTCATCACATGCCATTTATGAGACAGACACCAAATTCCGAACACCAACTGCCAAACACCAGCCACACAGTAACAATATGTCACCACTGGTGATGACATAAAAACAGGATTATATTGTGAAGATATAAAGCATATCCACAGGATTTATCATCCTGGACCTTTTCCTTGAGGTCTGCTATACTTGAAGACCGACTGTCTAACTAATGGGACAGCTGACCTAAGCTATTTAAATTGGGAAGGGTTCACATTTTAACGTTTTAACATGGAAGTTGTTCGCTATTGATATTGGTAAGGTCAAAGTTTAATGTTTTGGAAAGCAATTCTAGGGAATTTTTTCAATGGATCATGGGTCAACATAATTTTACAAATGGGTTAAATGTGGTATAGGAGTTTGTAGTTTATAGAGTATGTACTAAGTGGTTGTGTAATTAGTGATAGATATATTCAATGAAATGAGGAATCAACTCAACTGTGACTGTGTGTTATGGAGACAGAATTTGTTTCAGAAATGAATGATTATTCCTCAATGGAGGCGCTGAACCCTATAGAGCATTTCACTCCATTAAAAGCTGTGAGTTATGTACTGACATATCTGATAGAGTTATAAATTCAGTTTGCCACATGCCATATATTACTATCTGTCTGTCAATCACTCCCACAGCTTAGAGTGTCACATGATGGATGTTCAATCCATATTCACAATTTACAAACCATGTGACCAAAACTAACCAATCAGATGACAGAATTCTAAAACTGAGAACAGATTACTTCGAAACAACATCCAGTTTTAAATGAGACGATTTATTTCCTATTAATACTTTAATTCATGGACGTATACACTCAGTAGTTTCTGACGCAAAAATAAGATAAATTGATGATTAAAAAAATGAGGATGCGACTTTGCCCACGTTTAAGGATGAGTTGGATGCTGCCTCTGCTATATGTAGTCGTGATCATGACAACCTTCTGGATTTTCAAAAAGGATTCTGAGTTAACCAGAAAACATAAAACAGACAAAGTTCTATCAAAATACCAGGAAGCTCTACATCAAGAGGTCAACAAAAGAGTTGAAAATGATGCCATGAAACCCATGTCTCCTAAGCCAACAGCAAAAGTCCCTCTGGATGCTACAAAGCGCAACAGACAATGGAACAAGTACCTGGATACTGGAATCATATCACCCCAACTTCAAAATGATCTATATAAACTTGAACATGATAAACTGATGCACTCTAGGGTTAAAATGGGTGAACAGAAACATGAAACAATAAACGGTAAACCACCTCTCAGTTCAGCACGACTAAGGAAGCCATCACTTGCAGACTATTTGAAGAACTTTAATAAGAAAGAGGGAACTCATTCAAAAATTCATCATAAACCAAAAGGAAAATCTCATGGTGGTATAGATCATCCATCAAAAACACCTGATAAAGATGAGGAAAATAACCCACTAACAAAAGAATCATTGGAGAAGGCAAAGGATACTGAAAAACATATTCCGGATAAAATGACTAATGCAATCGCAATACCTGAAACCAACTCAAAGAAACCTAAACAAGATGTAACACAAATTGTTCACCCTTCCTTATTAAAAGATTTACAAAATTTTGGCAATTCTAAAGATACAACAAATCTGAAAAGTAACGTTGCAGATGAAGCACATCATAATTCTGAAGATTCAACAAATCTGAAAGGTGGTGTTGCAGAAGATGGACATCATAAATCATGCGCCGATGTACAGGTTGAAAAAATAAATTGGGTACCAGCAAAGCCAATACCGTTTGAGCAAAAAGAACTAGCGCAGCTGATGCGGGGAAAAGATTTATCGTTTGCTGATGCTGCAAAAGAGATTGCGGGTGATGAAAAAGTAATCATGATATCAGTCGTCGATTACGCATATGTAGATATGTTTCTCAACTTTTATGAATCAGTTATTGTTAACACGAATATCAAAGCACTTCTACCAATATGTAATGATATTGAAGCTCACTGCGCTTTTACACAACTTGGAATTCCTTGTTTTTTTTGGGGCCAAGTTGGAAGTGCGTCAGTTCCGTTAACAATTGGCAATAACTATCAATGGAACAGGAAAGTTAACACTAAAATGGAGGTGATAATTCGTCTTCTTGATCTTGGCTATAGTGTTTTTATAAGTGACGTTGATGTTTATTATCTTGCTGACCCGATGAGTTACTTTGATGAAGGGGTGGATGTTGTTATACAAGACGGATGGGAGATGCTTAACCCTGGGTTCATGTTTGTAAATAACACAGCTGAGTCAAAGCAACTCTTCAAACGCACGTGGGACAAGGTCCTCAAAACAAACTGGATGATAAAAGAACAAGTGAATGTGGATGAAGAAATAAAAACTATGTCCGAGCAAAAAACTCTAAAATATAAAAGACTACTAGCATCTCTTTTTCCATGTGGAAAAGCATATTTCAAGCCACGTCCAATTGCATTGGAAAAACCAAGCGGTTTTGTTGCAGTTCATAACACCCACATCAAAGGACTGGAAGAGAAAATCTATAGATTCAAAGAACATTTATTTTGGATCAACGATCGAAATGGTTATTTCACTTCTCTAGACTCACGATATATCCAGTATGATAATCCTAACATTGGATTTGATAATAAGACACTCCTTACTGAAACAATTGCTCTGAGGAACGCAATTGCGATCGCAAATTTAACCAATCGGATTTTAATTCTCCCAAAATTTTTCTGTTTTGGAACACGCTGTTCATTGGCGATTTGCCCAAAAAATATGACAGGTTCGTGCCCTTTATCAGCTCACTTTATTCCTAGAGCGTTTGAGCATACATTTAAAGGTCAGTACAGAGAAAGTACATTCTTGATCAACCCAAGAGTGCCATATCGGGTAAAACGTAGCATTTCACCATCATTACTTCTAAACAACTTTCAAAATATTTGTTTTAGTGTCAATCATGATCTTCTACTGAGTGTCAACAACACCAGCATTTCAAGCAATCAACAAAATAATGAAGTTTATTTTGAGGACTTTACTGCTCTATTGGAACCATATAAAAAGTTCAGGATTTTAAAATTCAGCAGCTTGTATTATGGTTTTAAGGGTTTTAAAGATCTAAAGAAGCAACAATGGCTTGACTCTAAATGTAAAACTGGACTAGCGAGAAGGTGGCGATGATCACTGAAAAGTTCCATACATAGTACATGTACTGTCACAATATTTCCTGTACATGATGGACAAACAGCTGACTTGGATTTAAAATGGCCCTGGTCACTGAATAAGTATACCTAGTTCAAAATAATAGTCATACATACTGTACTTCTACTTAATTTGATGCTTCTTATTTTGGCAGACTTGCTGTTTTGAGCATTTGGCAGCTACTTAAAATTTGGCGGAGTTGCATTATTACAATGTACTAATGGTATTAATATTAACATAGTACTAAAATTACCAGGGAAATTGGCAGCTACTTAATTTTTCAGACTTTAACAATTTGGCAGGTCCACCAAATTAAAATGGCCACCAAATTAAGTAGAAGTACAGTATATAGATGTGAATTATATGTAATCATGAAATATCAAAAATAAATGGGTGCAAATAATAAGCAAATAACATTTTTTGTCTCATCTTTAGTGGTATGGAAATAAAAATTATTGTTTCTTTCAGTGCATCACAGGTTAGAATTTGTTTGATTTTGTTTAGGAATTGTATTATCCAGCAAACATGCAATATTTGGCAATTAACATTTCAGTCAAAAGAGCAAACCACAAGAGTGTATCTAAATACCTTTCTTCTTTCCATGTTCTCAGGCTTAACCAGTGCATCTGGCATCTTGGGAAATCTGGACATTGACTTCCGATTAAACTTGAAGCTTTTTCTCCTGTCTCTATGCCTGAAAGTAGATGGACAACACATAAGATAACCTGAATCAATATTCAATACAACACATGACTCTGGCTATTTGACGTAAGTACGGACGGACAGACGGAGGCGTTCCCTATATCCCTCCGAACTTCGTTCGATGGGATAATAACACATGACTCTGGCTATTTGATATGATTTCATAGTTTCAATGTTGAAAAGACCTTTAAATAACTTCAAACGTGAAATGAATGTAAGATACATATGGACGACAAATGAAGCATTGATGTTTTCTGACTGCATACTCAGATTAGAACCTGTGTAAGTGGAACACCCTTTTGACCACAAAAATGTGTTCTACTTGTGAGGTGTTCCACTTACAGAGAGGTTTATTAACATGGAGTCAATAGACCGCAGGAACCTGTTCCACTTGAGAGGTGTTCCAAATAACAGTTTCTACTTCATATTATATTAGATCAAAGGAATATTTATAATTGCAAGAGAGTGGATGAAGTATTGTTCTTGGGGAGGGTAATAGATGATCCTCAAGAATTATGTCATGAAATGGCAAAAGGACATATATAATCTAGCATGAAACTCTTACATTAATATCTATTTCTCAAACCATAAGAAATGGGGATGGAAGCTACTTCTGGTTCTGATGACAATGTATAGTCTGCATATTTGTTCTTAATTCTTTTCGTAAAAATCAGGCCAATCTCAAGTCAGAATGAATTTGGGGTTACCTCTACAGGTGAGGTGATTTTATTTTTTTTAACTGAATGTGTTAATTGAAACCTCATCCTTTGTCATGTTTATAGATATGATATTTAAAATGTTAAACAAATGACACATTGGTTAGAAAAAGGTTTTTCATGCCAAAGTGCTATACAGGTGCAGAACACTGAACGCCAACCACCGAATGCTGAACAACATCTAATTATAGTGGTGACACAGTAGTTTCCTAAACTTAATCAATTCAAAAGTCATCTGAAAAGGTGCTTTGTTTTTGATCAATAGGTTTATTTCATAAATACAAATATACAGTGAATATACAAGGTCGGGGAAAATCGTTAAATGTCCCCATATAAATATTATACAATAAAAAACATGGATGATTCAGACATGCTTCTACTGTATAATCAATGATTTTTGTTTAAATATAAGACAATATACAAAAACAATGAATTGATTTTAAGGTCTATATTGCACCATAGGAAATTAAAGTTTCTATTTATTTAAATCATTTCATGTAATGAATGATGTCATATAATTGACAACACAAATCTGATCAATTAATGCAGTATTGTTTCAAGGACTTTCAGATTAAAACTGTCAAAAATCATGATAAATCTAAATAGAACTAAAAAAAGAAACTACATCATTTCTGAATAAATTCTTGAAGTGTTTTACAGAGAATTTATGATAGGGATAGATATGATTGGATCTGTCATCGTTAAATTGTTTAATCATGTACAGTAGTCTACTTTATAATTGGATCACTTAAATATCAATTAAGTCTCAAATACTTCATTTGCACTGTTTATAATGATTCCCTAATCTTAAATCAATTTAAAAGTCAACTACTGTAACTGTTGTAAAATCAATAATTTTTGTTTGAATATGTATGACAATAGAAATAATTGATTTAAACGTCTACATAAAATAAATTTAAAAAGTGGGTCATTGATTGAATGCAGTTTATAGGTTTCATTTTATTTAAATGACATCATATAATAGAGTGATGTCATGTATTTACAATGTAAATATCATGTATTACAACATATTTTTCAAGGTCTTTCAGTTAAAATGGATGAATCATTGTAAATCTAAATAATAAGTTATATGAAAATACAATGCATAAATCTTTAAAATGAAACTACATCATTTCTAGATAAAAAAATTGGAGTGCTTTACAGAAGTTTTTTAAGTAGGAGATAGATATGATACTGATCGTCATCAAACATTCTTATCATGCATTCTATTTTTGGTTTCATTTTATTTCCTATAAATAATGATGTAATTTTGACATTGCCATCTAATCAAGGGGCTGACTCAGAACCTCGATCAGTATCATAATGAAACTTCACGTGATATTCATAGTCTGATTTGAAAGTCCAAACATTGAAGGGATGGAAGGGGGCAAAATTCAATGTCGAGATGAAGTCATAAGTTCAATTAATTAATACGTTTTTCTATATTTTATATTATATAGAATTCTTTTATATGTCATAAACACATGCTTCATGGAACTTGTTATAACATTATAAGTCACAAAAATAAATAAAGTAATGAATAAATCGTTAAGCAAGAGAACTGCATGTTAAACATTACAATTATATTTGATATCATTCTATGATCCTTTTAGGGGAGGTTCAGGTACAAACATCTACTGCTGTCAAATAATGCAACTTCAGTCTCAAACTAAGTAAAATAGTCATAAAGTTTACAAAATAACTATAGGTGTCAGGGAACAAAAGATCCTTGAATATGCTCAGTGCTTTACTTTCAACTTTCAGAATGGTTTGAAATAAAATAAAGGGTTTTCATGACTTATGAATTTAAAACATTATCTTGTGAGGATGGGACACAATAAGATAACTTACTGTCGAGTAGGGACAGGAAGTGCCACTTTTGTCTTGAAGAGCGTCAACGAGTCATGAAGGCTTCGGAAATGATTGAACTTTCGTCTGACCATCCATTGCTGATCACCATGGCTAAGTTGTATCACATAACTACAAATAGAGGGATATTTTAACATGCATCCTAATTATGAATGCAATGATACAACAATATCAGACATTTAAATTCTATCCTGCTTTGTTCCAACATAGCATTTTATACAAAAGAATCACTCCATCGCCCGGTAACCATTTGTCTTGAACTTTTCAAAGCAAACTTTAATTTACTATATGCAAGCAGCAGATAAGAGCATATCTGGTAACCAGAATACCAAAAACCTAGAAATCTAGAAATGTTACTGGTCCTTTAGTTCACTTATTAGTTGCCATGGTAATAGACATCGCCAAAAATCTGTAGAAAGGCTGTTGAAATAAAAATTTCAAGTCAATCTGAAAACTACTTCACATCACTTATCGCAAAATTGGAACATCTTATGTGATCACCAATAAATATAAATGGAGCAAAGTATTGATCGTAATTTTGACTTTTGGAGCTGTTAGTCTTTAAAGGAATTATATTCTTGGCACTAACTCCATGGAGCATTTTACTCCAATTGATAACTTGGGTCCTACAGTAAAAGATCTATCAATTTATAAGAATAATTTATAAGCTCCACTTACTAGAATGGGTTCAGACTGGTTCGGTGAGCATTTGGGTCTTTCTCAATGTCAATGATCTGGACCTTAATCTTCTGCCCTGGGATGAAGTGTCTGCGCTGGTGGAATGGGACATCCTTTGAACCATCATGAATGCTGGAGAATGGGATTCGCGTCAACCTGGTACCTGAAATGAAACATTTAAGATGACTTTAAGAATTATATGATCTGTCAAGGCTAAAGTACAAGGATTAACTTTGAAATCAAAACAAAAAAATATATGATAGGTAAAGCCTAGTTATGAAATTCTTAAGAAATTGTTTTCCAACCTAAAGTCAATGAAGGCAAGACTCTCTTAAATTAATAGTCCAGTAACATAATATAATTAATAATAATTAGTATAATTGCACAAAATGGAGTCACATATGGAGCCCCCAATTCTAAAGTTATTTGCTTTAATCTGATCTGTAAAATCTGGTTGCAAAATGTTGTGGGATCAAATGTATTTTCCAACATCTGTATTGTAATAGCCTAACTAGATTAAGCCATACCTTAAATATCTTATTATTGAAACATCAAATAATTAATAATCTATTTGAATCAATGTATAACCAATAAAACACAGTGTTATTAATATTAGTCAAATATCTTAGCAAAGCACAACTATTAAACAAGGTATTAAACATGACTATGTCACCACCTTAAAATGGTAATCAAAGTGTAACTATTGTTACAGTAACACCAAAGTCCAGTCACAATAATGGTGGTATAACAACTCCTTGCATTAACATGCAAAATGTCACCACCTGCCATTTGTTACAGACACTGACAACCAAATACCAACGTCCTTCCATAAATAGTTGGAGACTATAACAATATGTCACCACTTCTTGTGACATAAAAAACTCGAATAAAAATCTCTTGCAATTTCTGAACCCAAGTTTAAAAATCATAAAACTACCAGCCCACAATATGTACCATCAATGACTTTCAAAAACATTGCTAGCGTTATAATTGACATGACAAAAGATACAAAATAAATAGCACCAGTCATTGTTAAAAGGCCAATTTGACAAATTTGTGAACAGTTTTCAAAACTGAAATCAGGAAATATTATGTTTACGTAAGAGTTGGCATAGAATGGAATTAGTGATTATTGTCTGAATCATCAAATTTGAACTTCACTCTACTTTGGGTATTGCCGTCTCATCTTCGAAAAAGGGTAGCTTAAAAACATTTTGTTATTTCCTGATTCTATTATGTTCCATGGCAGCCTAATTTGTACTGAACTGTTGATCAATAATGGTCCACTTAATAGGTTGTCTTTATTTCTATTTTAGGTGTATTTAGTATCAGATGTAGAGAATGAGCCTCTAAGTTAGTCTCTGTAAACAAAACATCTTAATTTCAAATGAAACACATGTATAAGTCAAGTACCAAGATATAAGTCCAACATGGTATAAATCAAACATCTGCATAAGTCAAACACCAGTGTTAGTAAAATATACCAATAACACATCTGGCTGTTAACATGTCTGTGAGTAAAACACATGTTTAAATACCTCTTTAATTAATATCTCTTTGATTTAAAAAGATCTGCAAGTGAAGCATCAATACTCCTGGAAGTAAAAATTGAAAGTAAAAAGACCTCTGTTTGTCAAAATCACTGAACAAACATCTTTATAAGTTCATTATATTCTAAAGTCAAGCACCTGTTTTTGTCACACTTGTTTTTCCTAAGTCAAACATATGTTAATATTAGAAAGTGAAACCTGCATATCTGAACACCTCTCAATGTGAACACTTTATCTCAGTCCCAAATTTGTTACCTGTCATTGACTTAAATGTTTATAAAACCTTGAAATGTGAACACCTGCTAATCTGAAAACTTTTAGCTGGTCTTAGGGGCAATCAAATTAAACAGGTGGTTTTACTGCACATACTACTATTGATCATATGTAAGTCAAATACCTAAAATGTTACTTAACTCATGTAGTTGCTGATGCTGACCACCAAAACCAAATACCAGTCACAAAAATGGTGGCTATAACATGGTATATCACCATTTCTGTATGGTGACATAATGATATCCAATGCTTTATTTTTAACAAAGTATGACATAAAACTGCATATTTCATAGGAGATTTAAGAGGGAGAGTTGGTCTTATTTTTTTGAAGGGTAGAGTGGATCACTTATCACTCAAATACAAGAAATGAAATAAATAACAATCATTTTAATTTCAACTGGTTTTACTTTAAGTTCAGATAAACAAATATTATTGAATTCTTATCAACAACAAAAAAAAAAAATATGTTCTCTAATCAATTTCTGCATATGTCTGATCAATGTTCAAACCCAGGATTAAAATAACCAAATATTGGAAAATTGATTAGAATAAATTGAAGCTGACAGACTGGCTATATTCCGAAACATATAATTCCTCTATGGTTTCACTTATATTTAACAAATTCTCTTCAGTTTTTTAATCAAATTGTGTAACTTTCTGTTTTTCTGTACAATTCAGAGTCTAAATTACATGCCTGGTATCCTAATTCTTGCAAATTCCACTCTTTTCCACTCTATTTTTCATTTAAAATTGAGCAGTGAGACATTTAACTTGTGGTTAGTGATATATATATTGTAGCAGATGTTTCACCATTGTTTCTGGATAATTCATTCATTTCAAATTTTATAGATTTCATCAATTATCAGTTAATAGATTTCAAAGTAAAATGAATTTTTCAAATCCTGACTACATTCACATACAGTGTTTATTGTTAATATCTCAATCTAAATACTTGGTTTTCATTGGCCAGAGAGCAGTTAACAGTTTTGACTATTCACCCGAGGCATTGAATGGGACAGAAGTATTTCATTTTTAGTTTTAATTAGTTGTTCAAGTCAGTTGAAAAAGTCAGTTAGCTGAAAAACATCGTTCTCATTTTACCACTTTTTATTATTATATATTGTAGTTATAATTAATTCCATTGCAAATACAAGTGATTACATTACTTCACCTGTTGCCAAAACAACTGTTGCCTAGCAATGCATCATGTAAACATACTCCACCTGATTGATCTATTACACTAATAGATCAGTCAGGTGGAGTATTACAAATGTTTACATCATTTTGGCATCATCCACATGCATGTTTACCAAATCAATCGTGACAGTTGAACACAAGGATGATGCGATTTTAGCGAACTGATGTTTTCATCGTTTCAGAAAGATCTGGTCTAGTTTCTAGATACCCTTGTGTTGTACCTAACCCTGCACGTTCAACTGTCACGCTTAATTTTGTACACACCCTGTGTTATCATGAGGGAAAATGTATATCAGAGTTTTTCACTATTTTTGAGGTCAAAGATATTGTTAAATGTCAGAGATATTTATATACATTTTGCATCATGATTTTCCTCTCATGAAGGTTTTAATTACAAATTGGCTGATGTAACCTTTTACTTGACTCATTCTAGTGATCATTGCAAAAATAAAAATCCTACATCTATCTTTGGACCACACTGGTTTATCATATTCATTCATCGTATTATAACATATATCTATCAGTCTTTTGACGTTTTTTGAAAGTTGCGGTTAATGTATCGTAAATAATTGCTTCCGTGAAGTAGATTAATTAATTGTTTTCGTGCACTATGACAAGTGCATAAGTGCAAGTGCAATATAAGGGAAACATGGTAGAATTGCAGTAAGAGAGGGATATGCAATATAATATAAGGGAAACATGGTAGAATTGCAGTAAGAGAGGGAGATGCAACATGATCATAGGCGTAGCGCCCGGTACGCTGGGTACACACAGACGTACCAGATGGTTGCAAATTCGCTCTAAATACAACCAAATTTTGCTTCGCTCAACAATTGTTCCCGCGGTGACATACTACTTAGAAATATAGCGCTACGCCCATGATGATATAAGTTCACAATGACAAAAGTGCAAAATGACCGAGTACTGCCTACTTATATCAAAATATCTAACAAATTGTCTTTAAAGAATTATTAGCTCAACATATTGTTTTAACCCTCTGAACTCACCGAGCCATTCAGAGTTTGTTGTCAAAATACGTACAACTTTCTATATACGGTAATTTCCTTTGACATTACCACATAGTTAATGAGCACACATTTAGCATGTGTTCCTTTCAGCTTGCCGATTGGTTGAGAAAAATCAGTAGTGCGATAGGTTTGAAATAATCTAGGACCCGGGCTGTCACGGCCATAGGTCATGGGGCGGGCTTCTAAACTGTAATATAGTCTATACTATGCAGAGGGTAGTTTGTAACTAGACTCTGCGTGCAGGGTACTTTAAGACTTTACTGAACATATGATGTGTAGAAGTCTTTCAATATTTATTTATCTAAATTTCAAATTAAACATGTCTACAATATGTTCAACTCTCAAGTGCCTTTTGATATATTGATGGGTCAGACTGACCTAGACTTCTAAATTAAATGACATTAAATAAATCTGCAATGTTGTATTTAACAATAAATCTCAGCTGTTAAAAATATCAACTTGATATTACTTGAGTGTTAAAAATACCAGCTGTATCTGAATTTAAACAAAGTATCATAGTCCAGTGTTTAAAATTAACAGCAGTGATTATAACTGATTCCATCTGACTGTTAAAGCTTTATATTTGATACATTGTGTTTCAAATCATGAAACTTATACACCCCCCTCTTTCATGTCATTCTAAACTGGTGATGGTGATGATCCCATAGAAGGTAGTAGTGTCATCAATGATCTCCCATTGTGAAGCAATTGTGTGTAGCTCCAACTTGAATTTTGTGACTTGCACCCACATGAAAACCCATTTTCACCCACCCGAGAAAAATATTGGTCAGAATTGTGAAAAACATGGGAAGTATATAATATACAACCTTCAAGATTCATGTTTTAGTTCTACTATTTTTTTCAAAAGTCCTAGATCCTATAATCAACCTAATATTTTTTCATTTAATCAGTAAAGATACCCTGGTTTACAAAGTTGATGTACTTAAAGTCAAATGTCTAAAATCTGATGTGTTTAACAAAATGATTAATACAATATAGACCTAAATATGAACATAAAATATATATCATTCAACAAATGATTCAATACTGAATGAGTCTTTATTTTTACTTATTTGTAGCTTTTGATTCTTGAAGAATCAGTCAATACGGTGAAA